CATCAAAAAAAAAAAAAAAAAAAGAAACATCAATCAGTTTTTGGTAAGGAAAGCCAAGCACGCAAACATGGGGAAATACCTACCGTCTCGTTTGTAGCCGTCTCATTCAGCGTCTTGCCGACGAGCTTGTTCTGCCACTCCTCCGTCTTGGTGGAGGGGCCTGGGTTCTGGTTGGGGAGGACGAGAGGCATTGTAGCTTTTGTTGTTCGTGGAGATGGTGTTTTCAATACGTGAAATGAAATGATGAAGGATGTAAGTTTGATGTCCGGGATGATGGAAGATGACGGCAAATCGCATAGTTATAGTCCCGTCGAATGATGGATGACAGCCAATGATGGATGACGTTGGAGCTGGCGACAACAAGGCACGACCCGGTTACGATTCAGGCCATACTGGATACGGTAGCCGGTGTGCATGAATGGGTGACGCAGGTGCAAGGCTGATGATCAGAGACATGCTGGATCAGCCTGGTATGACTTGATCGATGATGATAGTTGTTGCCTTTTCGAGTATTGAGTCGATGGCTTGTCTCTCCATTCACCAGCCAAGGCTTGGGTGCATTCACTTCACTGCCATCTGGGGTACGGGGTACTTTCGGCCCATCCCGCACGACGACACTACTGGTCCTCGGCCTTTTCTTTTTTTTTTCCCTTGGCTCGCTTCGCTCGAGGCGTGGCATTGTGTTATTGGTTCCGTGTTTTGTTTGAGCCTCCTCCTGTTTGGACATGGCATTTATCTTGACCGCCCGTTATTCACCGTTATGTATCGGATTCCAGCGCACCAGCCACGGTGGCGGATACCTGCTTCTTTGCTCACCCACTCGATGAACAATACCGTGTATCTATGTGCGTAATGCTCCGTATAACACTGCCATTATTGTGGAATAAACTATTGAGATTGTAATTAACCTTGCGTTTTTTTTTTCGTGCCTCCTGGCCTCGCGTTCATCTTGATAGCGACCCATCGGCCGCCTAAAAATAGCCACAACTAGCTGCAGAACCTAGCCACACCCCTGAAAGGTACATGGGCTACAGACTCAGGTTGCAGGCGTTGGTCCTCTGCCCTCCGACCAACCGGCGCGATGCACGGCAAGGCACCCTCAAAGGCGATTTTTTCTCGACCAAGGGAAAACACTCCAAAACAACAAGTCTCTCATTCTCTTTTCAACAAGCCTCTTTCTGCGGCCACTGCAGTTTATCTCGCGCCGTAGGTTAGTGTGACTCGTACAGCAGTCAGCCCTCCCTAGCAAGCCTGGTGTGCACCGTTGTGCCGCTCCCAAGAAAGATACTTCCCAGCACCGCCACAGCCTCGTCTTTGGCCTTGTCACCCACCTACTGCGAGGCTCTCTCCGCCCGAAACGGCCCCCCTGGCTGGGCTAGGCTTGGCCGCAGCAGCAGCTTCTTTGTCCCTTTTGAACTTTTTCCTTCTCTGTCAGCATTCCTCTCCTCCTCCTTATTATTCCTCAACCTCGCCGCCCCATGGCCAACGCCATCATATAAGCATATTCTTCTTTTCTGCCTTGCATCTTTATCACGACGCGTCGCCTTGCTTCTCTTGCCGCCGTCTTACCTCTCACTTCATCCAACCAACCGTCACACACCCACCCCCCTTTACTCCAGCCTCGATATATCGACTGTTGCCCCGACTTTTCTACCGCCGATCAATCGACCCTTTCTTCACTGCTGATCTCCCTTCCTTCAGCAACAAAAAAGTCACACGCGTCACTGTGCTTTTTTGTTTCTTTGCTTCCCGGTACTCCATCTTTTACACACGCGAAGGTCCACACGATGCGCTTTTCGATCCTCGCCCTCGCCGTGGGCGCCGGCGCCTCCGCCATCCCTGCCTCGCCCAACGACTGCTTCCGCGAGCACCACGATGCCCTGGCCCAGTACGCGGAATGCGGCTCGCAGCCCTCGCTCTCGACCTGCCTGTCGCAGCTCGCCGCCGACGCCGCCGACGCCACAGCCGTTGAGCGCTGTTACACATCCCGACACGCCCAGCAGGCCCTTGCGCGGTGCGACGAGCTCGCCGCCGTCGAGCTGCGCCGCCGCACCCGGGACGAGGCCGCCAGGGCCCTGATCACGCCCGCGCCCATCGCCGCCCGCGAGAACGCCCAGGGCGACGACTGCTTCACCACCGAAATCAGCACCCAAAAGATCTGCCCGGGCTTCATCTCCGGCACCTCCTTCCCCTGCACCATGGGCCCTGTCACCGCAAAGTCCTGCCGCTCCGGCTGGCTCTGCACCGAGGACCCCAACGGCAAGGACATTTGCATGTCCAAGGTCGACAAGCTCGACGTCGGCGGCATCATCATCTCCATCGTCTTCGCCGTCATCGTCGTCGGCGGCATCTCGTTCCTCATCTTCATGTCCTGCGCCGAGAGCCGCGCCCAGAAGAAGATGAAGGCCCGCGCCGAGGCCACCGCCCTCGCACGCGCCGCCACCAAGAAGAAGCGCGCGGAAGAGGTGCGCGCCCCCCTCATGGCCCAGCAGCAGGAGGAGTACCAGACGCCGGGCGGCAGCGGCAGCGTCAACCCCTTCGGTGACGGCCAGCCTCACTGATGAGCGGTCGTGACGTGGCCTTGCCTGCCTTTGCTATTTTACGGAGTTTATTTCTATGTCGTTACAATGAAGAGAGAGAAAGAGAGGGTCATGAGGGAGGTCAAATTGCTTTCGCATGCAAAAAAATAACAAACGTCGAAGGGCTCAGCGATCAGCGATGAGGAAGGAGAGGCATTGATTGGATAGGAGAGGTAATTACACGAATGTAGTTAACATGTTGGTTGGGCATGTTCTCGTGGACAGGGAGAGACGATCATGCCTCTGCCATCGAGCTTTTACTTTTGCATTGTTTCCGGCTTTTACCACACGGACAGCGATCTCTGGATACCATTAGCTAGTTTTACCGTCTTGCATAACACCAAAAAAAAGAAAAGCGTCCCCATCATCGGCTTCCCCGTCTGTGCTTTCAAAAGCAGTTACGCACCGTCGCACAAAAGTCGTCACTAGATCACTGTACGCGCTACGTAGCACGGGAACAAATCCCCCAGTTTGAGTGGCGGACCGACCGTCCGCATTCACCAGTTTCGTATTTACCGCGCCGCAACTTGCTCTGGCCCACGACCTGGTATACACAAATGAGCAGCGTACTCGTATCAAAGCACGCGACGCGTGGCTCAAAAGAAAATCATCAAGGAGGCAAGTCAAGAAGTGTATAAACAGACAAGAGAACAAGTCATCAACTAGTTACTGAGGCATGTCCTGCGTTATATAAACAGACAGGAGAAGATGGAAGATGAAGAAGAGAAACCGCAACAAGAACAGACAACCAATCAGCGCGGCTGAAAGTACAACGACGCGCAGCGAGCCAGCAGCCATGAGAAAACCATCATCTACCCTTCCAAATATTTGCACAGCCAACACTGCAGATCCAGCTCCATCCCAGCTCTATCCTTGGCATCACTTCGTCCGCGGTCCACCTCTCAAGCGGAGCGAGGTCCGAAAGATCAAGAATCTGAACCTCCATCCATGATGCCAAGTCGCTGCAGGAGGTTCGGTCGGCGCGAGGGACTTGGGCTCACATCGCTGCTGCCACTCGCCCCATCGCTGCTGTAACCTCTGGATGTTATGTCTGCGAAGCTTCCTCCACCGCTGCTGCTGCTGCCTTGACCGAGGGGGGTGCTCTAGATGCCCCGCATCGAGGAGGCGGCCGAGAAGCCCATGAGAGGGCTGCCAATCTCGCCCGGCGGTGCGCCAACGACCGGCTGGCGAAATGTCCCGGCGATGAGCGCATCGAGCGTGGCCGTGCTGGGTGTCGGAGCGACGGCTGGAGCGTCTGGCATCCAGCGAACACCGTGGGTACCGTTTTCGTGCAGAATCACGTCAAACGTGCCGCCGCCGTTGGACGCGTTTCCCTCGGTGTCACAGAGGTTCAGCAGCTCCTGTGCCGTGATAGTCGGGTCGTTGGATTGGCCCTCTACGTGGTTCCGAAGTGCGCCGAGCTCGACGAAGCTTTCTAAGCTGTCGGGGCCACCGACGAGCGTCTTGCACGCGGTGCAGAGCATATGTCGGATCGCAATGTGGCGCGAAGCCGCTTGCGAGACGCTGCGCATGCCGCCAGCAACAGGCGAGCCCGCGTTGAAGCCTCCGGGCGACATGCCAGGCGGGGGGACGCCCCAGCCCGGGTTACCGAAGCCGGGAGGCGGAAAGTGCTGACCATTAGTCACAGCTGGTGTCGGGGTCCAGAGATTGTGCCCTCCACGAGAGAACCCGTTGTCCATGAATGGACTTGTTGCAAAGACCGGTGGGCGTGGGCCTGGTGGCTGAGAACGGAGGCTACCTGGGTTGAGATCCGGTTGGAGAGGTTCGTCGTCTTCGACTAGTACGCTACTACCGAGATGCTTTGTGTCGTCGTCACCGTCCGTAGGGCGTCCGCGTGATGTGCTTCCAGGTCGTCCTATTGGCGCCGGTCGTCCAATGGGCATGGCTGCACTACCGATGGCGTCAAAGGCGCCAGAACCCTGGCGGGTATGCGTCTGCGGAGGGACGTCTTTGGGCATACCGTTGTACCCTGGGCCGATGGGAAATTGGTCACCGATAGGTTGGTGGAATCCGGGGGGGCCGATCGGGCCGCCTGGAGGCATACCGCGACTAGCCAGTCCATTCATCCCCGGGGGTGCCATCATCATGCTGCCGGGGCTGGATCGGAAGGAGGGGAACACGGGTTCATTAGGGTGACGCGAAGGGAACCCCGGTGGAGCGTGATTTGGCAGCCCTGGAGGCGGCTGCATGCCGATCGGATTGCTGTGGAAAGCGGCCGACAGCATCGATGTCGGCGGCATGCTGGGTGGAGAGACAGAGAATGGCACACCAGCACCAGCACCAAAACTAAGCTTGCGCTCCTGGCCAATACTTCCTGGGCTTATGTGAGTGGCTGAGCTGGATCGCGGTGACAAGCTGGGTGACGCCGTTGCAAAAGCGACATCCTGTTGCTGGGATGGGGCCCGCTGTCGTGCAGGTGTTGGTACCGCAGACTTGGGCAGCACCGGCGTGGCAACGGACACCTTTGGTGACACAAAGCTGGCTGGGTTCAGCGGATGGTGAGGCAAGACGGTCGTCGCTGGCACAGGCGCAGGCTGCGGCGGCTGTTGTTGTTGTGGTGGCTGGCCGCGCTTTGCTAGCTGAATCTGTGGAGGCACAAGTCCAGCTGCAACAGAAGCAGCTTTTGCTCTCGCTTTAGCTTCGCTTGCCTCTTGGGCCTCCCGTTGTGCCTTGGCCGCCCTCGCCTCCTTGTCCTTCTTATCGCGCTCCTGCTTCTCCTTGCGCTCCTGGGCTTCGCGCTCCTTTTGCTCGCGGGCCTCCTTGTCTCTTATGCGCTGCTCTTCCTTGGCCTTCTTCTCGCGCTCCTTGGCCTCGCGGGCTTTACGCTCCTGATCAGCCTGCTTCTCCTTCTGCTCATGAATCTTTCGCAATCGTTCTGCTTCTTTCCTCAGCCGAGCTTCCTCTTCTGCCTTTCGTTGAGCTTCCTTGAGACGGCGCTTCTCGTCGGCCTTTTGCTTCTGCTGGGCGACGCGATTCTGCTCTGCTTCTATGCGAGCAGCGTCTTCGGCAGCCTTTTCGGCTTCCTTACGTGCCTTTTCTTCGGCCAGTGCCTGTTTTCGCTGAGCGGCCTTGTCCTTCTTCTTTTGCGCATTCTTGGCCTTCTTCGCCTTTTGCTCGTCTTCTTGCCGGCTTTCCTCTTCAAGTTCCTCGAGCAGCTTCTGTTGACGTTCCTTAGCGACCTTTTCCTTGTACGCGGAGAGCACTCGCTGTTCGAACATGCGGGCAGCGAATATTTGGAACATGCGCCGCCCTTCTTCCATCCGCTGCGCCTCGGTCATTTGGTCCTGAAGGATGTGCTCAGTATGATACGCAGATGGCATGGCAGAAGAACTGGAATATACCTCTTCGTCATCATACTCGTCGTCCTGGCTGTCCTCGTAATCGTCTTCCTCATCATCTTCATCCTCATACTCTTCTTCTTCTGGTGGAGGGTGATTGTGAGGAGCAGCGTATGCTGCGTTGGGGTGAGAAAGGCCGCGTGGAAAGTGCTGTCGGGCGTCCTCCTCTCGTGCCATGCGGCGCTCGGCAAGCTGCTCCATCATCTCAATGAAACGCTTGCCGTCATTTTTGAGCAAGTCGTCAGCCACGGTGAGTATGCCGCCTAGTTCCATGTTACCATATGCGCGCAGGAGTGTGTCGAGGAGCTTCGTACCCTTGACTTGCAGACTGTTACCGAATGTTAAAAAATCGGCGACGTCACGATCGTGTGCAGCGTTAAAGGCTTCGGGAGGTTCTTCGTCACTATATTCGTCGTCATCCACTTCCTCCTCGCTGTACACCTCCTCGATTTCTTCTTCATCGTCTTCGTCTTCGTCTTCGGCCGCCGGATCCACTATTCGCCCTCGCGATTCCAACGTTGGATGCGTGCCATATGCAGCAGGTAGGCTGCGGGTTGACTGCATGGTGTAGTGCCGTGACGCGCTCATCAAGGGTGGACTTTCGCCTTGGTTGGCAAACTGCTCCAATTCGACGTAGTAGGCGTCGTACAAGCCCTCCAGCTCCTCCTCGATGGCATTGCGTTTGCGGCCACAGACTGCACAGCTGCAGGTGTGCTTTTGTTGCTCCTTCATCTTGCGCAGGACGGCGTCCTTTTCGACCTTGACGAGAGACTTACGCTCGTCCTCGCCGAGTCCGAGCCAAAACTCTTTGATTCGCTCACGCTCCTCGTGATTGTTGGTACTCCATATCTTATCCCTAGACATGCCGGGCCCTCGCGCGGGTTCGGCCGGCAGCGGTGGTGGTGGGGAGAGGTCGTCATCGGGTTCCGGGGCGGCATTCTTCTTTTTCTTCTTGCGATTCTTCCTAGACTTGGATGACGCGGACGTCCCGAGGTCGTGCTGGAGCGGCTGACCTGGTGGGGGGTACGAGAGGTCATCTTCGTCGTCGGTCGCAACCAGATCCGCATGTTGCGGAGGCGGCGGCGGCGGTGGAATATTGGTGGCGACGTGGCGAAGAGCACGAGCATGTCCATGAGTGTGGGCATGGACGTGAGCGTGGCCCTGCGCGGCGGATGCGTGACCGTTGACGGCGTTTTCGGCGGCGGCCTTTGCAGCCGCCTTTTGCCGGCGCTTCTGCTTTTTGCGATTAACTGACGGGGCGGCGCCGGATGCGTTGTCGTCGTCATCGTCGCGAGCGGTGGCGTTCGACGTTCCAGGGTGGTGCTGGGTGGCAAGTCGATGGTCGTTTGTCGCAGGAAGGGTCGGAGTCGCGGGTTGGGAAGACGAGTCGGCGCCTTTGGGGACCGTGATGAACTTGGAGCCATCCTTGTTTGTATACTTGGCGGTGTTTCTGGGCGATGCCGGCGAGGGATCTGCCGGTTTCTGGGTGTTGGCCGGCATCGTCGGGCGGCGGTCTACCAATCTTGCAGCGACGTCGAGCTCATCAAGAGCGATTTGTGCCGCGGAGAGTGTGGTCGGAATACTAGTCGGAGTTGGGCGAGGTAAAAATGGTGAGGTTGAGCGAGAGGGGTGATGCTGTTGCTAGATGGAGAGACGGGCGGGTCGAGGGCGAACGTGGCGCGCGCAGTTTGAGAAGGGGCGCTTGGAGGATTGTTGGCGGGTTAACTTTCCCGAGCGGCGGCAAGCGGATGGGATGGGATGTGTTTGGTGGTTTTGGTTGTGACCTTGCCTTGACCTTTTGGGGTGGTTTGGCCTGGCCAGTCTGGTGGGCTGGTGGACGGCTCGGATTTTGGTGGAGAGGCAAGGCTTGACTTGCCCAGTCCTGTGGAAAGGAAAGCCCCCTCCCAGAACTGTGAGGCACGCACTGGGAAAGCGGGCAAAGGGTCAGTCAGCGATGACGCCAATGGCTGAGGAGATGGGCGCGAGGGACGGTTAAATGGCGACATGCGTTTACGAATGAATTATATTTTTATCGCCTCCGACGCGCAGCACGCGAGTATGTAAACGAGTCAATCTGGGGACGGGTTAATGTGGCGTGTGTAGGCGCAAGATTCCCATCTTCCAAGTCACGAATGGGCGTTGATGCAGCCAAAAGGTACATGTGAGGCCCTGGGCGGCGCTAGAAGGCTAGAGAACACAGCGCTTGTTCGGCGCAGCGTAGAAAGTACAGGCAGTAGCTACGTCGGTAGGCAGTTAAAGTTGTAGGCCGCGTTCATCGCGGCTCGGGATATGTACAGGTACTTTACATGAGCTCCAGGCGACGTCCAAATCACCATGCAGTCGCCGTATCAAATTTTCAGTATTCCGTTTTCCTTGTTACTCTCGACTTGGTGTTGTTGTGGTGGAGCATCAATGGTCAGAATTGCACGTGACCTTTATGCACTGGACTCGAGTGAACCCTCAAGGTGTCCTTTTGCTTTGACGGAAGCAGCTGTAACTTCTGCCAGTTGTTATTGGCATCCGGTATCAAGCTTACCCGTAATGCGACGGGTCTTGCTCCCTCGAAGCTGCAGCAAAAGGGTCCAAAAGTCATCCTGGTGCACAAAGCTTCCGGCATGCACCTCCCACGCTCAATACAAAGTTGCTGCCGAGCCTGGGGTGCCCAATCTGGGATCTGTGCCCGCCTCAGACAACAGTTTGCCATCAAACAACGGCCGTTGCACGCGCTCCACGCAAACAGGCAGGACACAGAGTAAAGAAAGGAAAGTTCCATGTCTTTGCTGGAATTCAGGGCATTGATACAGGATCTAGCTTGTTACCCATGCTTTCTTATCGTCAATCACTGGTGTTCCATTCTGTCCTGCAACTGCAGCATAGGTTCCTGTTCAGCTTACATATGACATTACATTACATCAGTCCGCTGCATCTGGCTGCTCCTTAGGCACATTAAAACCTTAGTAGAAAATACCTGAGGCTGAGTACGGTGCGGCTGGCATCCAAGTCCGTATCAGGACACCGTTGGAAGCGCGAGACTAGCCATTATTAGCCCAGTCACCAGCAGCTAGTCGACAGCTGGGCTCGTGTTGTGCGATTCGCTCTGGTAATAACAGCGCGAACATGGCACAAATGGCACGACCGTGACACAACCTGCTCCAGCCAACGACGCCAGCTTTTATTTATGGTGCCTGAGCTACTCGGCGTGCGGCGCGGCGTAGCTTTGCATGCTCGCACCTTTGCAGACGAAGTTGGTGCTTACATAGATGGTATGAGCTTCACGGGTTACCTCCCTCTCGTATCAGTCCTTCAGAGTGCGCGTAGTCTGGTTCTCGGCGCTTCGGGCACGGCATGGCTCCGACGTCTGCCCAGGACGATGTTTCGATCTGTGTTGCATTGCGATCGACGTATCCACTGCGACCCTGATGAAGCTGTTGGAGGGAGAACTCACGCCGGGCGTATCGGTGCGTCGGTCTATCGGTCTGTAAGACCTCAGTATTACTTAAGGTGACCGATTCGGACGTACCAAGTTGTGAATGGTGAGGAAATCACAGTCTGGTTCAATCCTCAAGAACGGGCCGGACAGCTCTAGCCTTGCTAAGTTGCGTCAAGCAGACGAAAAGGGGGCCGATAGGCTGCATATCAAATGTTTGCGGAAAGTAAGCCGCGAGTAGGATGGGGGCGGCATTAGGTCAAGTCGCTGGTGGACAAGCATGCAGGCCCGTTGCATCGGAGACGTGCGGAGATGGAAGCGGATAGCGCGTCTGGGAAGGCCGGGGCTAGGAACCAATGCAGACATATTTTTCCTCCGGCGTCAACACCCTGCTGTGAGAGGGAAAATGAGCAAAGATGATTGGCTTTGAAGGCTGGTGGGCGCTCGTATCGTTGAGCAAGTGGGAACAGCCAAGTAAGCTGGGGGTGAATTTCTGGGTGTGCGTGGTGATGGGGATGAACGCGTTTTTTTGCGAGTTTTTGGAAACTTGGAGGTTGCGAGGAAATTTATCAATCTTGGGCAGTGGCATTAAAACAGAGTATTTTTGGAATATGATCAGCTGCATCCGTACGGATAGATGAAGGGGATATATCAAGGACCAAGTTAATGTTTCTTCATGACCAGCCTGCTGTTGACAAGGTGGCGCAGCGGAGGAGCCACAATAAATCCAATGCCCCGGAACCTTGCTAAAATAGCACTGTCCACAGTCCAAGGTACAGCAGGTTACAGCGGGTTTAGTGTCACCTGTTAGCGTGCAACAAGCTTCAAAGCTGCCCTGAGAAGCACCAACGGATCCCTGTAACCTCCTATCCACCACGAAAATCAGAGCCAAGCGCCGGTGCGGCATCAACTCGACTCACAGCCACGTCCTTCCTTTCAGCTGCCAGCCTAACAAGGACCTGGCCAAAAAATGCAGGCAAAAGTTAAGGGAGGTGCGATACTGCAGGCACGCTTTTCTCAGGCAATTCAATTTTAGTAGCCATTTACCACAAATCCCCATCCCCTCGTATTCTCTTTCCCTCCTCTGCCTTCATCACCTTTCCCTTCTTCATCGTCATTCCCCCCTCCTCGCCCTCGGCCCCGGTCCTCTCTCGCTATTTCCGATCCACTACTTATTTCGTCCGGTGCCCGCGTTCTCTCCCCTAGTCCGTCCATCCACCGAGACACTTTGCCAGGCATCCAGGATTCAGTCCCGCCATCTCATCCCACCCACGACAACGGCCCAAGAAAAACGTCGCCAGAGGCGCCAACTGTCCACCGTCCCCTCTCATGCTTTTCGCTTTTCGCACTTCACCATCATCTCTTCACCGTCATCCATCGTCTAGCTGCCACTATCTGCAGTGCTCCATACCGACTGTTACAGGCCCTACTTGCCTCGCAGCAGCTACCTAAGCTATCAACTGGGCTCCATCCCGCTCGTCTCACCGCAGCCTTGTGACGCAGCCTTATTCAGCGCTTTCGGTCGCCATTTCGCGCCCTTTTTTTCTCCATCTTGCTCGTCCTCGTCTTGTGCTCTTCCTCCATACTCTCGCCTTGCCAAAGCGACGCCATTCCGCCCTCGACAGCCAGCTCCTCGACCCCTCGTAAACGCCCATCCGTCGAATCCGCCCGTCTACCCGGCTCACCGAGCAGCAGATCTGCCCTCCGGCACCTCGCATCGACCCGTCTCTTCCGCTCCGAGCTTTTTCCAGCTCTCCCGACGAGAGCTGATTTCCTGGCTTGCTCCTTTCTCGTTACATCGAACCCAAAACTTCACACTCCGCCGCCATGGCCGCCGCGAACCCCCAAAATGTCATAAGAAGGTAAGCATTCCTTTGCCCACCTATTGGCGTTCAATCTAGGCTACTAGCTACCCAATGCCTAAGCTGCTTAACCCTATCCTTGTTTTTATGCAGACACTGACCTCTGCGCTACAGAAAGCTCGTTATTGTTGGTGATGGTGCCTGTGGAAAAACCAGTCTGCTCAGCGTCTTTACCTTGGGCTTCTTCCCAACTGTGAGTATCTCCAAGATGACTTTTTAATCTCAGGAAACTGCTAACCAGACTAGAACTATGTGAGCCCCCCGTTCTTTCTTCCTCGCATCCACCACTAACCCGACAACCAGATCCCGACCGTCTTTGAGAATTACGTCACCGACTGCCGCGTAGATGGCAAGTCCGTCCAGCTTGCCCTCTGGGATACCGCCGGTCAAGAAGACTACGAGCGACTGCGTCCGCTAGCTTATGCCAAAGCTCATGTTATCCTCATTGGCTTCTCCGTCGATACCCCCGATTCGCTCGACAACGTCAAGAACAAAGTACGCGACTCTGATCCCGCAGGCCCCGAGCCGGTCACTCCCCTAACCCACCATGTTCGTTTTTTAACTAACAGAGAATTCTCCTTGCAGTGGATCACAGAAGTTATGGATCTATGTCCCGGCATTCCCATAATCCTCGTCGGCCTCAAGAAGGACCTGCGCGAAGACCCAGTTGCCATCGAAGAGATGCGGAAAAAGTCCCTACGCTTCGTCACCACCCACGACGGCGAGTCGGTCGCCCGCGAAGTCGGTGCCAAGCGATATCTCGAGTGCTCCAGCCTCAGCGGCGAGGGCGTTGACGACGTTTTTGAAGCCGCCACCCGCGCCGCGCTGCTAACTTTCGAGAACGGCGAGGGCAGCGGTTGCTGTGTTGTTTTGTAGAAACGCTCTATCCGCATCTTGTTTTGCTATCGAAAATATTTGAGCTGGAACATACCAGCAAACCATGCCGCACAGATTGTATCACTTTACACAAGTATACACACTCAAAAGACCGAAATGCAGCGTCCCGCGGGGATAATCATGCCCGCTGTAGGGCCATCAACCAACGAGTCTATACAGGAGCCCGCCAACACCCAAAACACGACCCCCGGCGGCAGACGAGGGCCCCCCTACACCAGCGAGGTGCCATTCGTCTTGTCGCTATGTATGAAAAATGTGTCTCGGCTCTCTACCTACCTATCTCTCTAAAACCTAATTTAGCATATTTGAATGTTTTTATGGATAAAAGAATGGTCTTTATATCTGGTGAATTTCTTCTTTGCATTCTGCACCTGTTTACTGTTGTCCAGCTTAATGAGATTTGCCTTCTTTCTACGTTGCTGGGTGAATTCCAAATGAGTTGTATGCCATAGCAGGGGTCTCGTAAGATGGATGGGCTGCTGGTAAATTGCGTGTGACGGCTGTGGGCATAATTATAACCTGCCGTTGATGAACCTTGTCCGAATTGCGTGGACCGACTTGGGAGGGCTTCATTTCTTGGGCAATGTACCCTCATCTGAAACTCGTTCACTTATTCGTCAAGCATGAAGATGAGGAAAACGCAATCAAATTAATAGTCTCTAATAGTAAATTCTAGCGTAGTGCTTTTTAGAAAAACAATTTCAGAACGCAAACACCTCCTCCAACACGAAACGATGCCAAATGCGAATGCAAATGCACTAATGGTACAAATTTATCACCAAGAGCTGATGGGAATTCTTGCAGCTGATGGCAGAAAACAATACCGTTGTAACGTTACTCGTACACTCCGCGTCTCATTACCAAGATTTCAAGACCAAAACAAGAGACAGAAAGAACAGAAAAGAAGATGAACATGGGGGAAAGAGGAGAGAGGAGTGGGATCAAGAAGAGACAATCCGTCAATGTTGTCGTGCCAGATCATCGCTTCCACTCGTGATTCCACGCTTGAACAGCCGGCGTCTCCGTCTGCATGCGCGCATACTCAATTGGGATCGCGTCGCCGTTCCACACGCCCTTCTTCTCCATGGCTACACGGTAGAGGTATCCCTGGTCGCGACCGCCGGGACCCTCCGTCAGCCGCAGCGCCTCGCACGCGTTCCACATGCCCGCCTGCATGCGGCTGCGCTCCTTATGCAGCGCCTCGTGCTGCTGGCGGCGGAACAGCTGCCACGCTCGATGGATGGTCCAGTGGCGCAGGTGTCGCTGGCGAGCCATGCGCAGGGGTGGCGGTGCCGGTGAGAACATGTTTTGCTTGAGAGTGCGCACCTTTCGCCCGCTCTCCGTCTGGCCCGTCGGTTTGCCCTTGGCCTTGCGCTTCGAAGCTGACGCTTTGGTCTTTCCAGTACCAATTTTGGGCTTTAGATGTTGCGGCGTCGGTTTGCGGCCGGCGTCCGCCGATCTGCGCTTGAGAGACACCGATGACGCGCTAAAAGCTCGGCTGGTTGTCGAATTGATTGCCATTGTTGTGAACACCGATGTCGGCGTCATCGGCGCCAGCGAAAGGTTGCTCAGAAGCTTCGAAAGTGAATGGGTTGACGACATTTTGGTCAGCGTGGGCTTGAGAAGTGATGGTGTTTTAGTTCAATGTCCTCTTATTGTTGCTTCCAGATCCAGCATCGGGGGGCGTCTGTTCAGCTGGTTGAGCACTGGCTGAAGAGCTACTGGCTGAAGAACCACTGACTAAAGAACCACTGGCTGAAGAACCACTGGCTAAAGAATCACTGGTTGAAGAACCTGACGGACTGCTGTTTGGCTCTATTCTTGGAACCTTTGGCTTATTCCTGGAACCCTTGGGTCTTCCACGGCCGCGCTTCTGTCCAGGTTGAGGATCACTGTCTGGCGAGCCGCTGTCTGGCGAGCCGCTGGCCGGTGAATCTGACGAACTGCTGCTTGGCTCTACTTTTGGAACCTTTGGCTTATTCCTAGATCCCTTAGGTCTTCCACGGCCGCGCTTCTGTTCAGCTGGCTGACCACTGTCTGGCTGTGGCTCGGCTGGGTGTTCGTCGAGCTCCGTCTGTTCGGCCGGCTGATCACTGCCTGGCTGCGGCTCGTTTTGGTGTTCGTGAAGCTCCTCGGGGAGTGGGGAAGGGTTGACCAGCTGCGTCGACGATGGAGTTTGGGAAATCGGCTGCGTCAAGGATGAAGGAGTTTGAAATAGCGGCTGCGCCGAGGTTGGAGTTTGGGAAAAGTATGTGTCGACCGACTGCGGCGGGAATGGACTTTTGGATAGGTCTGGTTCGTCCGGCGGCTCCCAGAAAGTCGCGTCCGAGGGGAACGGTGCCCAATGTAGGTCCGCAAGGTTGTAATGAGCACTAGGCTTGGGAATCGTGAAGAAAGTTTCCAGTGCCGGAAGAGGGGGGGCGAACGGGGCGTTCGGTCGCCAAATAGCTTGGTGTACCTCACGGAGGGCGTTGTACGATTTTATAATGACTTCTGTATAGAAATGGAGTGCCTCGAATGCATTGGGGTTCGACTGTGAAAAAGTTAGCGTTAGAAAAGACGAGGCGTGAATGTCTGCGCGATGCACGCCAGGTGAGGGCGGAAAAAGGTGTGCCCGGCAAAAGGTGGGGCGTGGTGAACCACCAGCCAAAGGTCATCGAGCCAGTCGCTGCGTTAGTAATTAGCAGACAACCAGAGGCCGACTATCCTGTCAAGCAAAAGTTCAATAATCTGCTAGTCGGCGGTTGATCAGCTTCTAGTAGGCCAGAGGTCTAACTAGTTCGTTGACTGATTGACTGTTGGTCGATTGACTGACTGTTGGTCGACTCGGTACCGACCGACCGGATGATGCTTCGCCTTCTGGCTGACTTCCGACTCGAAGCACCTGCAACGCATCACTTCGACTTGCGCTCTAATGACCTTCGAATTGCGGTTCACTGCCGAAAGTCTGAAATGGAGTGGCTGGGCACGAGTCTGCAGTACACTTACCTGTCTATCTTTAAAATCCACTCTGCTGGAGATAGCAACCGGGTAAAACTCGTCTTTGGCGCACGTGAAGAGCTTCTCGTCGGCTTCTTGGGCTAAACCCCACAATGCTCGGCACTGGGGATTAAGACAATCCCCAGACTTCCCTATCGAGATCTCAATCTCTGAAGCGCACTCCAGAAAGGCTTTCCTGTAGCCATCAAAATCTCCCATGTATGCCGGGGTGATCTGAGTGTACGACGCCATCTTATTTGGCAGAGCATGTAGAGGCGTAGGGATCAAACAACCGGGAAGAGGCTTAGGGGTCGATGGTTGAGAAGTGTCGAGAGTAGAGGAGTGGGAAGTACTAGAGAGTCAAGCGTCTCTGTAGTAAAGAAGCGGACAGAGGGCGGAAAAGTATTGAGAGGAAAGAAGTGAGCAGCTGTCGACTTTAATGAAATTCAAGGGGTCCTCCGTATAACAAAGTTCGTGATAAGCAATAAGCTAAAAACAATAGTCATGTACTCATAAGTTCTGCCATTTCCCTGTGCCTCCGTTAGCCAAATCGTCGAATGAGTTAGTGCACGCGGAAGAGAAGTATACTTTCTACAGCAAAGGCTCAAGCAATCTCGGCCAGGAAATAACGAGTTGCAGTTTCTCGCTGGATCGGTTTTGAGCACCAAAAGTCAATGTTATTGCACAAGACAGCCCAAGCTTTCTCTCCCCATCATATCCCAAGACCAAGCGCGAGAGCATCGCGACTTCCTCGTTTGCCAGCCCTGGGAAGTACCAGCCCAGAAGGCGCCATGTTGTGGGTGTAAGCATAATATTAGAAAACAAAAGATACTTCTTTACCTCTACTTACCCCTCCCTGGTTGAGCCACGGTGTTCTCAACCTGTGAGCCCGTGCCCCCTTCCCCCTGGCCAGACCAGCAGTTGGTGGCGACTTGCTTCACGGTGGGTGGATGAATTACGACAATAGAGTTCGATTTAGCAAGCTACCTATAGCTACAGTGCGACTACATCCAGAATTATGTAAGTGGTGGTGGTGATTGCGGCCAGTGGCATGGACAATCAAGGTAGATACCGTGGATCGGGAGCGTACCGATGAGGGGGAGCTCCAGTAACTCTCGTATCAAAAATTCAGAAACGCCTCCGTCTGAAGCGGCTAGATGAGCTCCAAACTTTATTAATGCTGGTCTCGAACATAAGCCACGATTACGTCCCCTCATCTTGGCTTGAGCCGTGGGTAGGTGGGTGGCCTTATGATGTAGGCAGCCACACGAGATGGGCACCGGCTTGTTCTGAAAAGCGCCGGACAGTCTGAATATGTGCAATAAAATGAATGATCATGAGGCTATGGGTGCTGCCCTCAAATCTAGCCCATAGCTACCTCCTCTCCTGCCGTGTCATGCTCTGTCATGCTGTGGGCTGGGAAGGCGCGCGTGCCGGCCGCTGATGCAGCAACTCCGAGGGAATCATAACCCTATTCCTGATACACTTAATCCATGCATAATTTCTATGTATGTACTAATAAATGGCTAATTACGAAGCTTATCGATCCCAACCCCTAAATCCAGTCGATTCTACGTTTTCTGAATTATGTTGATTGCCTGAACGAGGGGCCTACCAAGGGTTGAGGCGCATACAGGCAACTCATCGAGAAAAGTCATGAAAACCCCGACCGTCCACTATTAATGTTATCCTCAAGATTTTATTCTCTGTTACACTCATTAATGTTGTGTCCTGGCCTGGGAGCCAGGCGCGCCTAAGCGCGCACACGAAAAGAATTTCCCGATTAGGCAAGTACATGAATTTACACTTCGCCCGGCCCATGGAACTGCATTTTATGCTCTTTTCTCTTCCTCGATAAGCTTATGTACAAGTTCCCCAGCCGTGTCCCGCTAATGCTGCGTCTCCGTTAACACTGTGTATCATTGAATTTGTGTCCCGTTATAGGGTTGAGGTCTCTGAATTCGCCACGTAGTGACTAGATGCCATCCCTTCTCCCGTCCGCCACCAGCCTGGCCACCTCCTTCGCGATGACCGCCCCGTCAAATCCAAAGTACTTGTAAACCTCCTTTCCTGGCAGACTCTTTCCAAAAGAGGCCATCGTGAAGCCCGCGTTGGCGTACCTCTCCCAGCCATTCACCGCGTACGCCTCGATCGCCACCCGTGGGATCTGCCCCTGGTGGTAGCGCGGTACCTCCCGCTTGTACCTGGGGGGTTGTGCGTCGAACAAGTGCTGGCACGGGAGGGAGATCGCACGGGCCTTGATGCTAAAATCGCGCCGCAGGATGGTTCGGGCCTCGATCGCGAAGCGCATTTCAGCACCCACGCCAAATAACGTGACCTCGGAGTCATCATCTTCGACGAATACGTAGCCTCCTCGCTGCACACCCTCGCGGGACGAGTATTCGGGGTACTATTGGAGGTTCTGTCTAGAGGGAGATTATGGTGGGCGTGCTGGTCGCGCTCAGGGCCGCCACGAACGCGCCGGCGGTCTCTTCGGTGTCGCAGGGCCGGATGTACAGGACGTTGGGCATGGCGCGGTACAGCTGAGCGAGAGCGATGGGCTGGCGCGTAGGACCGTCTTCCCCGGTGCCAATCGAGTCGTGCGTGGCAATGTGAGTCGCCTGTATGCCTTGTAGGGCTCCCATGCGGACTGTGGGTGCGGCGTACTGCCCCCTTTGTTAGCCAGAAGAAGGCAGGGGGGAGGGGCGTAGAGGTGGTGTGGGTGGGTAAGGTGGTAATAGGACTCACTATGTAAAACATTAAAAAGCTAGATATAATAGGCAGAAAGCTTCCTTTGTTGAAAGCAGCCAGGTCATTAGCAATCGCCGCCATTGTGTGCTCTCGGACGCCGAAGTGGATGTACCGACCGGCGTAATTGCCGTCAATGCCGCACTCCGTCCGTAAATCCGGCTAAAAATATTCATTTTTCAACATTAGCTCATCAGTCTTCCTGTCAACCGCACGAGGGAAGAGGAGTAGAAAAAAAAAGAAGAAAAAGGCTCCGATGTTGAAAGTCCACCTTGTCGTTCCACATCATCGCCACCGACGGCGACAGGTCCGGCGTGCCCACCATCAAGTTCTCCAGCCCCGCCGCGAGGGGATTGCAAATAAGCCCGGCCGACTTTCGTGACGCCATGGGCTCGCTAGACAACGCCTCCTTGCCCGGGATCATTCCTCTCCAGTCACGCGGGAACTTGCCCTCCACGCGCAGGGCCAACTGCGCATGCAGGCGTGGGTGGTGCTCGGCGTAGGCAGCCAGACGCGCGTCCCAGTCGCGCTCTAGGGCCTCGCCGCGTGGAACGACGTCGGCGAAAACGCGTACACTTCGTCGTGGAGCACAAAGTGTTCGTCCGGATCCATGCCAAACGCCCGCTTGATGCTGCGGACGTCCTCGCTGCCGTACGCCGCGCCGTGCGCCTTGGCATCTCCTGCGACCTTGCTGCCGATGCCGATGACTGTCCGGATGTTCACAAAAGTCGGCCTGTCCCGCGACGCTTTCGCCCTCAGCAGAGCCTGTACGATGCCCTCGACGTCGTAGCAGCCGTCCGGCCACCTCGAGGACGTGCCAGCCCCAGGCGCGCATCTTGGCGTTGACGTCCTCGGTGTTGCACAGGTCGACGCTGCCGTCGCAAGTGATTTGGTTGTTGTCTTAGAGGACGACCAGGTTGTTCAGCCGCCGCCTGGAACGCCTCGAGGGCGATGCCCTCCTACAGGCACGCGTCGCCGACCATGCACCAGGTGGTGTTGTCGACCAGCGCTTGGCCGGGGCGGTAGTAGGTGGCCGCCAGGTTCTTGGTCGCGGTTGAAGAAGTTCAGGTTCCTTGGCGAGTATTTCATCACGTACTTCCACAGAGCGACGCCAATCGCGGCCATGCCCATGGCGCTTCTGTCTAGGGTATTTGCTGATGTTGATGCCGCTGCGCAGCCGCGACGAACTGACCCTGGGTGTCCGCCATTGAACTGTTGACAGAGGACTGCGATCAAACGTCTGAACTGATTCAATACGTGACTGATTTTCGGGCCATCATCTTTTTTAAACGTGGCGACGACGTTTGTGCCTTGCGACTGTGGGCTGACTGCGCCTGGCGACATGGTTCTCACAAGCTGATGCAAACAAATATCAATTAAAATTATAATAGTGATACAGACAAAACAGCAATCTATCGTGAAGAGGAAATGTCAAAAGAACTCGGAACAGAGCTGGTTTTCTACCCCGTCGAGCTGGACCACCGAGGTTGTGCTCCGGCGCATAGAGATTCCCTGATGCCGAAACGGGTAATCCTGGACAGGGCCGCGACCGCTCCGCCACCACCGCACTAACAGAACTCGCGATGGAGAGAACTCCGCGACGACGAAGGGAGGGTCCGTTTCTCCAGCGCTAGCGGTAATAAAAGTGCATCCCGTATTTCAAATCCTTCGCTTAAGCAGGTCCTGCAAGTGGCAATGCAGAGCAGGGCGCTGACCGGCGACTGATCAGTCTAGGGTAGGCTGGAGCTTGAATTGGGATGCGAAGCTACGGCGGCCTATCACGGTCTCTGCGGCCAGGAAAGATGCACTGAGACGCTGGTTTGGCCATCAACTGACCGTAACGACTTGTGATCGTGATGAAAATGGCGTTGACGTCATTTCTCAGAGGTTTTGCCTTTCGCAAGCCACGTTCTTCCGGAGCATCTTTGGAAGACCCCAGGGTAGCATCGCGCCTCTGTATGCAATGCAGTTCATCCCATATTCGGGTATAAGCGCACCATTGGACGATTGCCGCCCCAGGCGCGAGGTAACACGATTTTTGTGCGGGACTTTTAGTTTCGGGTGCTAATTCGTATGGTTAGAAGAGTGCTCCTCGATTTACTTTAATGTGCCACTTAGTCAACCTCTGGCTGGTGAGTTTATCGGGGTCGGAACGGCGTCGTTGAAACTATTCCCGCGATACCCTTTCAGGCGATATGATCGAAACTAGATGATTAGTTCCGGGGAAGCAAGGCACTGCTAGAACTATGACAAGACGGCCGCTCGGTTGGCCAACGCGCGACTTACACGAAGAAGAAACGGATCTTGACTCTTCTCAACTGACTAACGTACAAATACATTCAGAGTAGAAACTAGTAACCCGTCCTATGATACAGTCCCGACCATCGCCTGCTACTGCTTGCTCACAAAGTACTGTGCAGCCTCGTCGATGAACTCGCCCACCTCCCTCGGCCGGCTCAGCATCGGCGAGTGACTCGTCGGCAGCCCTCTGTCCGTCACGTCCGCGCCCTCCTCGCGCGCCACCCGCAGCTGCACCGGCAGCGCGTGGTCCTCCACCGTCTTTAGGTACCACGTCGGCACCTCCCGCCACCCCGCGTACGCGTGCTCGCCGCCGCCCGTCAGCGGCAGCTGCGCCTGCTTGGTCATCCTCGCCACCCACGCCCGGCCCTCCTCCTCCGGCAGGTCGTGGTAGAGCATGTCGCGCGGCTCCGCGACGATCTCCGCGAAGCCCGTCCCGTCGTTGAGCCGCCACGAGGGGGGCGGGGTGCCGCCCATGGCCTCGAGGAATGCCACGCCCGTCACGGTGAAGCCGGTTGCGATCATGACGAGTCCAATGACGTGGGCGGGCGCGGTCGCATCGCGGCCAGGCGAATGGCGCGAGAAGCCCTGGACGGCGCTGTTGCCGACCTGCCCGCCGTACGAGTGCACGACGAGGACGACGTGGCGCCCGGCGTCGGTTTCTTGCCGGATCACATCCTGCGCGGCGCGGACGTCGTCGCCAAAGGTCGTGGTGCGGTCGCCGAGAGTGGACGGGAGGGTGACGGCGATGCCCTTGTAGCCCTTGGCGGCGACCTCGGCGTTGACCTTGTCCCAGGTCTCTGGGCGGTGCCACGCGCCGTGAACGAAGACGAGAGTAGGTTTAGCAGACATTGCGGTGTAGTGTATAGTCGCTGATGAACAAGAGGTATGAGGAATGGAGATATAAATTGATCTAGATTGGTAGATTGATGCAAGTTGTAGTTGAGTGTTTGCAACTCACTCATCACGACTCATCTTTATACCTGTTTCGAGGCGCACTGGCCTTGCCATTTTGGCGAATTTCTCACGATTGTCCCCATCATACCCTGCTTTCAGCAAATCAATCACGGCCAGGTCCGATTCCTTTTCGTACAAGTCGTTGATGAGGTTCATTTCCACGCGGCTCTAGGCGTCTCCGGTGGGTTTGATCCGACGGGTCGGAAGTGGGATTTCCCCGGCGGGGGCCGCTCCTCGATCGGCACATACCTTTCCTTTTCTTGCTTTCATTTCGATGGGGGTTTCCCGAGATGGATACTGCGCCTGGAGCTGCCTAATAGGGCATCCGCCTGCTTCAACGCCTCTTGGGGAGCGTCAAAAGCTTCCTCTTCCACCAGCACGGCATCTCTGAGCGGAGATTGCCCATTGGGCAATTCAAAGCGCATCGACAAAGCACAAGCAAGGACATTCTGCAGCACAGCAAAACCCTTTCCCTTGTCTCTTCTCCCCCTCCCCCGCCCTGCATCCGCGGGGGGGCAAACCAACCGCGCGTTGGGCTTGCAGCTGCCCTTCTCAAACCTTGACCTCGCAACGCAGGACCACCGCATACGACGGGTCACTGATCAGACCACCCGCCAACAAGGGTGAGGGGCCGGTGCGCCTCCGCCTGCCCGCCCCGGTCCCATTCGCTCGACAGAGAGACATGACTGCGGGCGATGCCGCTGCTGGGGATGGTCCCGGCGGGCCCGGCCCCGGCCCCGCCCAGGCACGACCTCAACCCAAGCGCACCCGAACCCGAACGGGCTGCCTCAACTGCCGGCGCAAGAAGCGCAAGTGTGACGAGAGCCGGCCGTCGTGCGGGGCGTGCCTCCGGCGCGGCCACGCGTGCGAATGGGGCCTCAAGGTGACATTTCGCGCCGAGAATGCGCAGCACCTTGACGAGTCGCACCCGTCGATGCGGCTGTCGGCTCGCCACTTCCCGAGGGAATTTAAGATTCTCGATGTCACGGCGGAGATTATCCGCGACTACGACACCACGTCGCCGATGTGGGAACTCTACATGTCGTCTTCTTCGTCGGCCAGGTGCGAGCGGCCCGGTGTGGTGACGACGGCAAGGAGCGACAGCAGTTACACCCTCGGCACGCCGGTTCTGTTGGCCAGGGGCACGCCGTCGAATGCTATGCCAAGCTCGAGTCTGTTGCTGGGCCAGAACGCCTCATCGAACCTCGACATACCCACCCCGCAGATCGCCGCCGCCGCCCATGGTGTATACCCTGCTTCCCAGGGGCAGTCTATGTCACCTGCGTCGGTGCAGCACTCTGACGGCGCCGTCGCCAGCCTGATCTACCTCAGTCAGGGCGGCGAGCGTGCTTACACATCACAGGCGGAGCCCTCTGCTACTATATCGATACCAAGGGCGACGACGGTCGGCGGGCCCGGGCACCCTGGAACATCTGTCGCCCATTTTCTCGACCACGGAGTGCTTCCGCCGCCGACCCCGGAGGGCGTCGCTGTCGATGACGGCGTGTTCCTGCCTGGCTCCGCGTACCACGAGCTGCACTCGACACTTCGGAGTCGGCTGATCCAGGAAGGCATGTCGACCGCGCCAAGCCGGCAAGACACGCCCGTCGCCGACAACGAATCGGACGCTCCCGACCCGCCCAAGTCGCTCCCGGCATCCGACTCGCCGTCCCCGAGCCAATCCCAACCCCCCATCCTGTCTAGCGAGGTCGAGTGCCGGCTGTGGCGCAACTGGTTCGACGAGATTGCGCCGTGGCTCGACAAGTTCGACAATAAGCGGCACTTCCAGCACATCATCCCGACCATGGCTTCATCGCACGAGCACCTGCGCTACGCGATCCTCGCCCTCTCCGCGCGCCAGACCGAGCTCGTCGACAGCCAGCCGACGGACAAGAGCCTGGCGCTGTACCAGGAGGCCATCCACGCGCTGCTGCCGCGGCTGCCGTCGCGCGGCACTGCCGTCATCGCGTCGTGCGTCGTGCTCTGCGTGCTGGAGATGCTCAGCTGCTCGCCCAAGGCGTGGCAGCGCCACCTGGACGGCTGCGCGAGCCTCATGGAGGCGGTCGGCATCGACGGCTGCTCCGGCGGCGTCGAGCAGGCCCTCTTCTGGACCTTTGCCCGCATGGCCGTCTGCGGCGGCCTCATCTCCGAGGTCAAGACGCTCATCCCCGTGAACCGCTGGGTCAGGCGCCACGGCAGCGGAGGTGGCCTCGGGGATGCCGCCGCGCTCTTCCGCCGCCAGACCGACTTTGCCTCGTGGGCCAACTACGCCGTCTACCTCCTCGCCCAGGTCATCGACCTGCTGATGCCCGCGGCCGCGACCTCGCCCCGCACGCCGCCGAGCACAAGCGCCGAGCTCGACGACTCAGGAAAAGGCCGCGCGCGTTGGCTCGAGCTGTGGGAGCACGTCTGCGGGTGGCACGACGGCCGTCCGGAGCCTCTCCTCCCCGTGCTGACCATCCCCTCCTCCGACCACCGCTCGCCCTTCCCGACCATCCTCTTCTCCAACCCGGCCGCCATCTCCGGCAACCAGCTGTACCACACGGCGTCGATCCTGATGCTGCAGAACCAGCCGCGCGCCGGCTCCGGCGCGCACCTGCTGCGGCGGCGCAGCGTGCTCTGGCACGCCCGCCGCGTCTGCGCCATCAGCATTTCCAACCACGACCACGGCGCCTGGACTAACAGCGTGCAGCCGCTGTGGATCGCCGGCCGGTGCATGAGCAACCCGGCGGAGCACAGGGCGATCCTGACGCTGCTGGCCAGGATTGAACGCGAGTCGGGCTGGGGGACGAGCTGGCGGGCGGAGGACTTGAAGGCGTACTGGGGTGATTTGGGGGAGTAGGCACTTTGGATACCGAAAGATGGTGTTGTTGTCGCGATCACCAATGATAAAACATGGGGCTGGCTGAATCATGTATCGATGAATTAATGATGGCAAAAGTCATGTCTAATATGCAAGGCTAGATTCTGTAGTCTATAGTTTCATTTAACGCTTCGTCGCGTTGGGGACCTGATCCAAGTCCCAAGAGCCAAAATATCCCCATCCAAATGTATTCATTTCCAAATATCAAAACAAAAACTCCAATCATTCATCTTTCCTCCAAAGAACGAATTGTCCTGTATACGTCTCATCATAAATCACGATAAATCACAGTAAATCACAAGCAGCTACCTCGCCACATCACAGCCCATGGCCTTGGATGCGCTGCAGCGCGATCGAGTACGACGTCCACGTCTCGCCCGTCTCGCACGGGTCCTCGCCAAACTCAGCCTTCTCGAACCCCAGCGGCCTGTCCTTCTCCAGCGAGATCTTGCCCATCTGCGCCTGGCACCTGTAGCTGCCGAACCGGAACTCGACCACCGCGCGCCCCGCGCCCCCGCGCGCCAGCTCCCGCACCTCGTCCACCTGAAACACGAAGCGCTCCGAAAAGTACCGCGTCAGCGTCTGCTCGTTGACAAAGTGCGCCTGGCCGGTGACCAGCAGGACGCGCGAGTCGTCGCCGCCGCGCGGGATCGTCGCGCCCGTCTTGATGCGGTTCGGCGCGACCTTGGCGCGCCACCCGCGGACGCTCAAGCCGTCGAGGCTGGTCTGCTGGAGGAGCAGCTGTGCGGCGGCGGGCTGGAAGAAGACGATCTTGGCAGCGGCGGTGGCGTGCTTGACGCCGTCGGGGCCGTTGATGAAGCAGCACCAGACGCGGCCGACGCGCCGGATCTGGCCGAGGAGCTCGTGGTGGGTGATGTCCGGCGGCAGGTTGGTGATCCACAGGCTGGCGTTTTGCTCGGACGTCAGGTGCTCGGCGCTCGCGTTGGACTCGGTGTGCATCCCGTGGTACCGGTCCGAGAAACGGTTCGCCGGCGCCGGTTGCCTGGGCGGGGCCAGCGGCATACCGAGGGGAGCCATCGGCGGCATGCCGCCACCGCCGGCGCTCACCGATATATCCTGTCTTGAGTGTACCGCGTGCATGGGGAGGAATCCCTGGTTGCGCGGCTGGATGAGGAAAGGCCCCGGGGGTGGCTGCTGCGGTGGGTTGAGCGCGGGGCCGCCGCCACCACCGCTCGGGCCGCGGTGGTCGGGCTGCGTGGCGGGCTGTGGAGGTTTATATTGACCAATTCGCATGGTGATGGTGGAAGGGATGAGCTGCGTAGAGAAATGCCGCTGTGGCGGAGGCATGTGAGCCGGCGTAAGGTTGGAGCTGGCTTCGGAACTTGGGCGAGGCCGGGGAAGTGCTGCTGCACCAGCTCTCACCGGTAAATCTCCTGAGCCTGACACGTACGGGTCCGAGAGCAACTCGATTTCGGTACTGCGGGAGGAGCTGGGGTTCGTTTGGCTGCCGTAGGTCGACCAGATGGAAAACTGGCTCTGTGGCGGCCTTGTTTCCATGGTTGGTAGAATCGCGGGCGTGGCACTTGTATGCGTACCGTACGAATACGGGTTTCCATGGGAGCGCGTCGGGACATCTGCCGACGTCGGGGCGTGCTCAGACATCGAATCGACCAGTCGTAGCCTTGAAAAGCCGGTCTGGATGTCCATCTGGGGATCAGCGCCGCGAGCGTGGGCAGGCGTAGACGTCATCCTACGCTGCACACTCGCGGTGCCGTAGTCGGAGTTTCCAGTTAATTCTTGAATCACAATCTGCGGGGGCATCGAAGAGGTGGAGGCCGACGTCGTGTTCTGCGGCCCGGCCCGGTTGGCATCGTCCCAGATGTTACGTACGCTTTGTCGCGCTGAGCCGGCATCTCCGTGGACATGACCGGTGGCAAAGGGCTGTGGCCGTGAGTAATAAAGGCTTGGAGTCTGACGGCCAGTGTGAGCCGAAATTCCGTGTGTTGGACTCTTGGGCGTGGGAGTTACGCCGCCACTCGATTCGGAGTTTCCATAGTTCTGTTGCAGATTGCCATCTGTATTCTTATCAAAGAAGGACATGCTTTTGAGGGATATTTTTGAAATTGTAAGATTGTCGTTGCGTCTCTCAATGAATGAAGTTCGAAGCCGATAGTTATGCTATGTTGGCAGAAGCATGTCAGGAGCGGGGAGGAAAAGACCGTGGGCGAGAAACAAGGGATCTTTGTAGCTGGCGGTGATGAGCGGAGAGGATAGTTGTATATGCTAGTGACAGAGGTTGCTGCCTGCGTGAAATGGACGATTCTTAAGTTGATGTGAATCAGTAGATGCAGACAAAGTGGCAGCAATTTGTGTGCTGGTGCCTGATGTCAGTCAATGGCGTTTCGGACATGAAGGACGCAAACCAAAGAGCGAGCGACTGTCAGGCTACAGAGACGAACGAAAAAACAACTTGAAGCAACCAAATGAAAGCAAAGATGCGTCGTTGTCGCACGGGGGCTGTGAAAGAATGTTGTTGGCTTGGCTCTTCAGTAACCAAGAACGAGAGGACGAAAGAAGGGGCAAACTGCGAGACGCATCACAGAGAGTCTAGTTTGTCTGAAAAGGACATTTCTGTCACGTCTTTACTTTCTTCATTTTTTAAGCTTCGCACAGCGTCTGCCTCAGTTTGCTTACTGTGGCATCATTAACTTCTGGGCCTGTCAGGCGCCCGCACGCCCGCACCCGGGAGGAGCGGTAACACGGGCGACTGCATGGGGGCAGACCGACTTGTTATTGCTGTTGCTTCGAGTTGATGAGGGAAAGGGCAGATGAGGTTGAAGAAGACGAAAACAAGAAAGAAAATTAAAGACACATGTTTGTGGCATCAAACAAAAAGGCAGAAAACACTGGCGGATGAGTGATGGCTTCTCGGCCGACGCTAGCATCGTGAAGAGCGGAATTGCCCAGAAAAGGAGCGGAAATAAAACCGCGCTTGGCGAGTCTGTGCTTTGAAAGCTGAACATGGCTTCGCTTCCACCCCCCTGTCAGGGCTCGCTCTGGACAACCCCGTGCGCAGGAATACACACTGTACGAATATTCTGTACTCCGTCCGTACGGATACTTACGAAATACTGGAAAAGGACAGCCCTACCACGCTCGCTCCTCGTAGCTGATGCGCCGGCGTCGGTCCTGGGGCTGAGATGCACGCAGTGAGACGGACGCACACCATGCCTGGGAAAGGATGGGACCAGGCGATTCGTTAGCGTAACTCGGTCAAAAGATGAACGGGAAGCTTTATTAAAAAGCAAACAAAGAAATGAGGCTAGTCATCCGCGTCATCGCACCACAGAGCCGGCTCGCTGCACGACGAAAGAAGATTCCTCGGCAGGCAAACACAACAGCGGTTCATGACTCTTCAGGACAATAACCATATCCGGCTTGAGCGGAACGCCACGAATTTTCGCCTAGAAAAGTCGAGAAATAAGAAACAGGATAAGACAGCTATGTTGGCAGCCACTTGGGCACCATGGCGTCGAAAGAAGGCGGGACGAGCGGGGGAAAGGGGCGTACGCAAAAGAGTGCTAATAATAATTCTAATAATCAGGGGACCAACCATTTCATCGAAACAACCTTGAAGCGAGACTTATCACTGGCAGCCTGTGACAGGGTGTCACGACCTCGCGAACCCCGTAAATCCCGGTCGAGGCGCATCGCTAGGCTGTCCCTGTCGCCCTTGTTCCCCCCCGCCTCTGCCACAAGTTTCTCGGCAGCAAGAGCCGTCCCTCCATCCACTGGACGCGGTGGGCATAATGCGACTCTATTGATTTGCCTGCCGGCAGCATCTCAAGTTGACGATGGGCGGGAAAGGGCGGGGATACGGGGGCGCGCGGACAATAAGAAAATCTCCAGCCCATAAGAGGGATGGATGGACGGTAACAACTCTTGGAAATACCACCCCCCATTAAATCACCAGGTTCAGCACTTCAGCCTCACGCAAGCAAAGTGGGCTCGTCCTGTCCTTAAAGTGGCGCTCTCTCGCCCTCTCGGCTGTCTTTGGCTTGATGTCTCACTTGGGCAGTGTATATCATCGATCGATCGTCTCATCTGTTGCTCTCGCTGATTTATAAACGCCTTCGACACATGGGCAAGTACAACGCAACCAGACAAACAGCAACATGAGCAGTAAACCGGCCGCCGCCGACGGATCGCGGCGCGGGAGCCGCGCCAAGCCAAAATCCCCCAAGCCGCCCATCACCCTCTCGAGCCCAAACACCATAGCCGCCGCTGTCACGAAAAAGCGATACTCCAAGACGAAGCTGGGATGCAAGACGTGCAAGTCAGTGTAACCTTTCGCCAGAAACGAATAACACAAGACATATATCCCAGCAACTACCCCGCTGGTGTGCATTGTCCTCCTGCGGAAGCACTAACAACTCCCAAGAGTCCGCAAGATTCGCTGCGACGAAACATCCCCAGTCTGCAACAACTGCATCAAGTCCGGCCGCCGGTGTGACGGCGTCGCCGAACCCGCCAACAAGGACGGCGGCCTCACCTTCACCGCGCCCCTCACCCTCACCCACTTCCGCCCGACCCAGACCGGCTGGTTGACGCCCCGCGAGGTCGCGCACCTCGACCTCTTCCGCCACGAGCTCGTCTATAGCATCGTCGGCCACGTCGGCACCCCGGCCTGGCGTCGCCTCATCCTCCAGGCAGTCCACGAGGAGGTGGCCCTGTGCCACGCCGTCGTCGCCTTTACGGCGCTTAGTACGTCCGGCGATGCCGGCTGCGACGCCGGACTGGCAACGACATCGTCCGTGGCTGCGCAGTCGCCGCCGCAGAACGCCTCTCGGGAAAATGAGTTTGCCCTCCGACACTACGGGAAAGCCCTCGAGGCCATGCGCCACGTCTTTCGCCACGACGACAAGCGTTCCATCAACACAGCTCTTCTCTGCACCCTGCTGTGCATCTGCTTCGAGTTGCGAATACGAGAACCAGCCACCGCTTTGACACACCTTGAACACGGACTACAAGTGGTTAATTCAAATCTACATACTGGTCAGATCACCATCATCACATTAGCATGGGCAGTAAACGCGGAGCTAACGTCTTGCAGTCGATGAGGCCATCACAACCGCATTCGCCCGTCTCGATCTCCAAGCCGCCATCTTCCTCGGTATCCGCCCTCCTGCGCTCGATCCGTCCCGTGTAGCCTCGCGCATATTTGTCTTCGACTCCGTCTACCAAGAAGCCGACAACGCCCTGGCCGGTCTCACCAACCGCGTGTGGACCTTCATCCGCACCGTCGCCGACGATTACCGCTACGAAGACCCTCCGCAGCAGGCCGTACCCGACGCTGTCGCTGCTCGCGCGCGCGACATCCAGCATAGCCTCGCCGGCTTCCGCATGCACTATCTCACAGCCGGCAGCGGCAGCAAGCTGGACAAGATGCTGCCCGAGCAGGTCAGCTTGCTGCGCATTAAGTACCTAACCTGCGTCATCGTCATGAGCGGCTGCCTCGCGCGCGAGGAGACGGCGGCCTACGACGCGCACGCCGCCGACTTTGTCGCCGTAGTGGATCTCGCAGCGGACATCCGCGCGCGGCAGCAGCAGCTCATCCCGAGCCATGCCACCGGCGGCACAGGCAGCTTCCAGCTCGATATGGCCGTCATACAACCGCTGTACCTCACGGCGACCAAGTGCCGATGTCCGGTGACGCGGCGGCGCGCGGTGCGGGCGCTGCGCGCGGGGCCCGACTTTGAGGGCGCGTGGGAGGCCGCTGTCAACGCGCGCATCGCCGAGCGTGTGATCCAGATGGAGGAGGAGGGCCTCGCGTTTGACCTGGAGAGCCTTAGGGACGGTGAGCTGGTGGATGTGCCGGAGAGCGTGCGCGTGCACGCCGTGGACATTTGTGCGGAGCCGGCGCAGGGCCGCGCGACGGTCTACTTTAGTCGTCGGCCAAACGGGCCGGGCACGGAATGGGAGGACTTGCAGGAGGAGATAACTTGGTAGAGGTGTTGCAAGAGTAAATTTGACCCACGAAGAGGCTTGGTGCCTGGTCGTATATATATAATAGTCGCTATATAAAGAGATGGCGGTATGTACTGTCCTCATGTTTTAAGATCCCAAGAGCTGGCTGATGCTCCTCTAGAATTCATATTGTAACCAATGTTCAACCTCATCCATCTTCCCTACACCGTACCTACGCCTCTGGCTTATCCTTTTGCCAGAGGCCCATTGCTCCACGCTCCGAGATCTGCAGGTCCTCGCGCTCGCCGACGAACCGATACTCCAACCTCTCCGGTATCGCGCGGCTCCTTGCGTTCTCCACCCGGTGCCAGATCTGCACCAGCTCCGCGCCGCACTCAAACGCGGCCCGCGTCAGCATCCCCGCCGCCCTCGTCGCCAGCCCTCGGCCCGTCGCCTCCGTCGCGAGCCAGTACCCCATGCCCACGCCCACCGCGCCGCTCGCAGGCTCCATGAGCCCAAAGGACCCGAGCACGCGGCCGTCCACGACGACGGCGTAGTTGTAGCCGCGGCCCGCGTCCCAGTCGGCGACGGCGACGCGCAGGAAGCTGGTCGCGTCGTCGAGCGTGTAGCCGTGGGCGGCCCAGGGCATCCAGCGTTGGAGCTCGGGCAGGGAGGCGGAGGCGGCGGCGAGGAGGGCGGGCGCGTCGGGGAGGTGCCACCGGCGAAGGGTCACCTCGCCGTCGGTGAGTTGCTCAGAGGGCACTTGGTAGCGCTCGGCGAGAACAGACTTTGGCTTTGTGGGGGTAGAGTCCGCCATGGTGCGGGATGATGATGATGACGTGAAAGGATGTCTGTTTGTTTGCTTCTGCTGTAGTTTTCCAGCTTGGGACGTCTTCTTAAATAGACTTTCTTTTTAGTTTGATGGATTGTTTCGTGACTCACTGGATCATGTTGGAGCGAAATCGGGCGGCTGGATGTGCTGGATATGGAAGCTTACAACGAGTATAGAGCGCAACTACAGTCAGACTATTGTACGTGAAGCGGCACGTGTCGTGTATTGACCAAGCCTATTAAAAATTAGTAAATTCTGGGAAAATCATTAAACCTAATCTAAGACTACTGGTGTCTTTCTAGACCACAGAACAGATTACCCCTGCCTTGCCAGTGCTAGGCGTAGCTCGCATGGGTTTCACGACTCTACTGCCCCTCTCGCTCAATGACAGTGGTATTAGAAGAAAGAAAAAAGGAGAGAAGCCTCGAAATAAAATGGAAAATTTGAAATAATTTGAAATTGAAATTGAAATTAAAACAGGGCAATAATACCGAAGCAGTTGCAAACAATGTGCGCTTAGTCAGTCTGGAGCCGTGACCCCTTAGCATCGAGCCGTCTCCAAACAAGTCGAAGCTTTGTCCACCATCAACAACAATCATCGCCCATTCATCACAAATCACCAAGGCAGCAAACATACGGATTATACTTCCAGATTATAATTATTGTCCGCCCATCAAGGTCAACATGACGGCTTCATCCTCTCCCCAAATCGTCCCACTAAATCTAGGCAACAAGGCGCGCTTCAGCTGAGTCACTCACCAGCCATCCAATCCAATCCAATTCACCTACCTACAGGCAGGCGGTGCCAGCGCCAAAGAGGCTTGCATGGGATCGGCCGCCGTCCGGCGTGACTGCGACGCGAAACGTAAAACAATGCATCCCCGCCAGATGTGCGTCCAGTTCGCAAACGGGCAACAAGGCGCACCCGACGCGGTGGTGGCTGCGTTTGGTGCTGCCTGAGAGCTGAACGGCATATATCTTTGCCTCCCCCGCACGGCTGCATACGACAGACTACAACATTCTGTTCGTCTTTGCATCCACAGCAATTGTCGTCGGTTTGTCTTTTTCTTCACAGTCGAATGCCGCGGATTTACCTGATACCATCAGCTCCCATCCCCCTCCCACCTCCCGCCACGCACAACATGGCTCGCACAAGGCAAACAGCCCGTCGCAGGGCCCCCAGCGCCATGTCCAGCGACTCGGACGCCTCAACCCCAGGTCGTTTCTCCAGACTCTCAGGCGCCTTTGCCAAGGACGGCCCCGTCTCCGAGTTTATCTGGAAGTGGCGATGCAAGCTCTTCGGCAACGCCGACAAGGACGCCGTGGAGGACTCGTCCACCGAGGAAGAGGTTGGCGGTGACCCCGTCAGCAAGATCATGTACGAGGGCCCCGACTCGTCCACCTGGAACTACAACTGGGTCGACTACCCGCCCAAGCAAATCTCCAAGGCCACAGCCCGCGAGCACGGCCGTGTCGCCATCAAAGTCTTCAAGGTCAAGGACCACGAGAAGCAATGCATCTCCGGCCGCCTGCCCCTCAAATTCCACAGCATCCAGGTCCAGAACCTCGCCGTCGTCTCCGCCCTCGCCCCGATCCTAAAGAAGCAGGACCACCACATCAGTGAGACGGAGAGCTGCACGTTCAAGGCCCCCTTCCACGAACTCTTCTTCTGCCAGGATGACATCAAGCAGCTGTACAATGGTCTCGGCAGGGATGACATCCTCGCCCCGTACCTTAAGCTGTTCGTCGATGCAATGGACTCCGTCCTCAAGGAAATGCACACCAAGCTCGACAACCTCGGCGGCTCTGGCCTCATTTCCTTCGCCACCCTCTGGACCCTCTTCCCTCGCGGTACCACCGTCTACAGCACCGACCTGGAGTCGGAGTTTCTCTGCAAAGTCACGAAAGCCGACTACGTTACCACCTCGGGCGGCGACTCGTTTCTTCAAATCGGCGTCAAGGTCCTCCGCTTCAACGGCGACTCGTTCGTCTGGGCCAGCAAGATCCTGCGTCTCAGCAGTTTCTCCGGCAACAAGCCCATCAAGCAGCTGCGCCACTACCCCATCGCCCACCACGCCGACATCGCCACCGTCTACGAGCGCTTGGAAAACCGCGGCAAGATGATGCTCGACCTGCAGGGCCTGCAGTACCGCTGCTACAACAACGTTGCCCTGTACTGGCAGGACAGCAAGACGCTCAGCAAGCACAACGTCGAGGGTCGCATCCTCGTAGATGTCTCTGGCTACCAAAAGTACCAAGACGACGACTTGCACCGCACCAAACGCAAGTCCTCCAGGCGTCGAAACGAAGATGAAGACGACCTCGATGACTGGGGCATCGGCGCATGGGACGATTCTGACTCCGACTCCGACGCCGAATCCATCAACCCATTTGATGATGGAAATTCGGACACATCCTACGACAGCGATTCCGATGACAACCGCCCCGAGAAGCGTACGCTCCGAAAGCACATCACCGAGTCCCAGTGCCAGCGCAACAAGGACATGATGTTGCGCCGCAAGGATGACCTACCATTCCTCTACGGCCTCGTTGGCGGCTACGCCCTCAAGACGAAGCTCTGGGTCGAGTTCTACATTGAGGACATTGAACCGCTCGTGTGGAACGATACGGCATACTCGCATCTTGTCTATGATGAGCAGCAAAAGGACCTCATTCTGTCCTTTGTCCAGCACCACAGCTTCGCCAACCCTCCCACCACCACCTCTACCACCACCCCAAAGCCCGCACCCGCGCCGCCCAGCGACTCGAGCTCGACCGCCAATGAGGAAACCACCGACAGCATACCAAAGCGCACTCTCGCCCCCATCGAGGACGTCATCGTCGGCAAGGGCCAGGGCCTCGTTATCCTGCTCTCTGGCCCTCCCGGCACCGGCAAGACGCTCATGGCCGAAGCCGTGGCTGACCGCACCCACCGTCCTCTCGTCTACCTGCAGGCCGAAGATCTGGGCACGCACGCGGGCGAGCTCGGCACGCGCCTCAAGCGATGCCTCACCATGGCCGCCGAGTGGAACGCCGTCGTGCTCCTCGACGAGGCCGACGTCTTCATGGCTGAGCGCGACCCCAACAACATCCACCGCAACGAGCTCGTCTCCATCTTCCTCCGCGAACTCGAGTACTTTCGCGGCATCCTCTTCCTCACAACCAACCTCTACCGCACCATCGACCCGGCCTTTCGCAGCCGCGTCAGCCTCCACCTGCTCTTCGCCACGCTGCCGCGCGACGCGCGCCGCCAGGTCTGGCGCAACTTCCTCTCCCGCCTGGCGCCCCAGAGCCTACCGGCGGTCCGCGAGGGCAAAGGCAAGGAGGTTTCTGGTGGGCCGGAGCAAGATGAGCAGCAACAGCAGGAGAAGGACGGCGCAGTTCCGACGCTGAGCGACTCGGATGTCGACGAGATTAGCCTCTGGCAGCTCAACGGTCGCGAGATCAAGAATGCGGTCAAGATGGTGCGCACGTGGTGCGACCACAAGGGCTACGCGATGACGCTCGACAGGTTGGAGAGCGGCATCCGCGTGACGAACCCCTGCGCGACCAAGAGCGCCGAGGTCGACCAGGCTCTGTACGATTGAGTGATGGCCGCGCTGGCCGGTTCGAGTTGGAGACGACGTGAATCCGGTTCAAGAAAACGTGAACCAGGATAAAAAATAACAGGAATCGGGATGAAGAACACGGGCATCACGATAAAGAACATGGGCGTCAAGATTGGATTGGTTAAAGGGCGTTGGGATCTATTTGGCGTTAAACACCACGGATACATTTGCTCTAATTGATTAAAAGTTTACATGCTCGTCATAACATTCGTAGGCGTTGAACCTCCCCAACATCCATATCTACTACTCTTGCTCCTCCTCCTCCCCTTCTAGCCGGACCTCGTGGCCGCTGCCCTCGTACATGCCCAGGGCCGTGAGACACCCGACGGCCGCGACGCCGGCGACGCCCCACCATCCCCAGGCGACCATGCCAATGTCGAGGCCGTACCCGTACCACCAGCCGCCAACGACCGGCCCGACGGTGCGAAACCCCGCCGAGACGCTCTGCCCGAGCCCGTGCACGGTGCCGAGCACGCTCGGGTGCGGGCTGCAGTTGTTGAGCAGGATGATGCTGGCCGGCAGCGTGAAGGTGCGCGCCGTCACGGCGAGGAGCAGCACCACGACGATTCCGAGCCAGACGAGCGGGCCGGAGGCTGCAGGGCTGTCCGCCGACGACGGCAGGATGGCGAGGTACGGCACCAGCAGGTAGCATACAGGGAAGAGCGGCAGGAACCAGCGAAAGGAGCGCATCGTGCCGAGGCGTGCCTGCACGGGTGGGTACAGCGTCAGCTGCAGGCCCATGCCGATAACGCCGAGGATCGAGGTGGCAATGCCAACGGTGGAGGCCGGCATGCCCAGGCCGCCGGTGAAGAGCAGCGGGAGGCTGCGCTTGTTGGCGGCTGCCGTGGGGGAGGATTCCGGGGCGGCGTAGCGCGGCGTGGAAAGGAACAGCGACCAAATGTTGCCAAAAGCGCCGAGGTGAAAGTCGTAAAAGGCAGTGGTGACAAGCGTAAAGATGACATTAGAAGTCCAGATGCGGGAGAAGGGGAGACGGCGCGGCGTCCGACGTGGTGCCTCATACGCCGTGACAGTCTGCGTGTCGGACATATCATCCAACGCGCAGGATTCGCCATCCATGACGCGCGAGTAGCCAGCATTCGGCTTGGTGCCGAAGAGCATCTGCTTTATACGTTGACCAGCCGCAAGGCTTGGATCGTGGAGATGGCGCCGAGAAGACGACGTCTGGTGCATGTTAGTGTGAGGGATGGCATAATAGCCCTTTGCGGAATGGCGACCTACCTCTTCGAGAAAGAGCATCACAATGGCAGTGACGAGAGAAAGCGCAAACACATTCATGAGACTTGGCAGCGCATAAGGATACTTTTGAATCCATCCAAAGCCGAGAATCGCTCCAGGTGCAAAGATGCCGGGCAGCGTGGTGCCGGCCGAGGCAAGCATGCCGCCCAAGACTGTCCATTGTTAGTCGCAATATGAGAAAACCCTGGCGCGCACATACATGGACCCAAGATTCCAGCGACATTAAAGCTCATAGGAAGGATGAGGAACGCTCGCGATTGAAATTTCTTTTCTTTGATAATTTCGGAAATCATTGTGCGACTTGTATCACGTTTGTTAGCATGCAAATGGGATCGCGGCCACAGGCATCTTACATGACTCCCACGGTGCCATTCACAGCACCGCCAAATGCTCTCCAGAACGCCGCCCAGAAAAACGTCGTCGCGAATCCATAGCCCAGACAACTCAGCGCCGTGCCGGCCAAGCCGACAGCGACCACCAATTTGCGACCGCACCAGTGCGCGTCGGCGGCCTTTCCCCAGAGCATCGCCGTCATCACCTGTGCGCCCGTGAAACACGCCTGTAGCAGGCCGGCCTGTCGGGAGACGCTGGCATCCGAGAGCGAGCCGTCCATGTACTTGAGCTGGTAGAAGACGTAGGCCTGCATCGAGGCGACTTGCAAAAAATCGACGAGCCGGCAGAGGAACAGGATGAGAAGCTGGTCCTTGCGCGGCAGCGAAAGCCACGACACCGGGCCCGGCTTCGGCCGCGACGAATGCTTCTCGACATCGTCTGCAACGCCGTTTAAAGACATGATGTCGAAACGTTGCGAAGCTGTCAAGGCCACACAGGGTCTGCCGGTTCGATAGTTTACCGGCTCCAGTTGCGAGTGTGGCGCTGCGCCGTGCCCAGACCAGGCGTGGATCGGAGAGATTGGCTCAAGTCATGTATGAACTCCGTAGCGGTTGACAGATCAAAGAGCGAGAAGAATTCCGAACAAGAAAACAGTCAATCGGATCCGAGTTTCGGACAAGAGTTGTCCATACGTGCCAACAGGTGTGGGTTTCGGATCGTAGTGATGCAACAGCAAGACGTCACTCGTCTTGGTGACGTAGCCGAATTTTTACAGTCTGCCTGCATCATCTTGCTGACGAGAGACTTTGAGCCTCGGGCTGAGGTTACTTCTCCGATGTTTACCTAGTTAGTGTTAACTGTAAAAACTCGCTCGGAAAGAGCTGAACCTTGTGGGGACGTGCGTCCTCAAAGTTTCCCTGAATCAATCTTTGGGCGGCCGCTTCTGGCAGCCAAGACGCCAGTCCAGAATCGTTGGGTCGTACATAGTCGGCACACACAGGTTGGTGCACTGCAGCCACCCATAATAGACTCCCCCCATGTCGACAAGTCCCATGAAGGCAAGGATCAGCCGCCCATCGTGGAGCTCACATATGTACCGAGCCAAGCTCCCAGGTCGCCAGGCTACCCTGCGTCCCCATTACAATTGCGCTTTCCGAGACGCTGGGTTGGTGAATGGCGCGACGCCATTTGAAGGAGACAGGTGGTTAGACAGAATTCGCGGCGGTTCTCGCAAATGAGAGTATACGTAATGGCGCACCCTTAAGCAAAAACAGAAGAAACGTGGTGCTACTGCTGCTGCTTTTATCCGTTGAAGTATCCGTACACGGAGAGCTTTTGAACAAAGAGCTTATTTCGCTAGTCAGCAGACTATTGTTTTCTGGTAGGGTTACCTTGAAAACGGGCAAAGGTCAAGCAGAACAAGAAGAAGGCGCCCGATCGCACGGTCCCTGATTCTCAGCTGCTCGCTTGCCCAGTGACCTTAGGTGGCGAGTCAAGAGCCAGCAAGTGCAAGTACTAACTAGTTAGGTAGTTAGCAAGTGTGAGAGCTGCGCCGCCCAGCTTGGCAACCTCGATTTGGCGGCCAAACGTTGGCGAACTCCGGTGTGGCTGACGCTCCAAATTCGCTCAAGGAAAAAGACATGCTTCCTGTAGTGGCCCCCTCATAGTGTCCGCTCGTACTGTACACCTCGCTCCCATCATGGCCCATGGGCGTGGAGGAAACATGGAAGTTTTTAGTGTTTGGCGCCACGGAGAGGGCGACGATAGCTCCCTGCTGTGGGACGCGAGAGACCGAGAGACAGGGCCTGTAACCCACCTGGGCAGGTAACAATGACAGTGGTGTGTGCCAGCGCAAACGTCGAGCAGTTCAGCCGATACGAATCACGGGTGATGTCCTGTACGTCCCGTACTTGGAGGTGTCGAGCTCGCTGTTCGTTCTTTGATCGTCAATGAGACGACAACCGTAAACCGGAGTCTCGGCTGTATTTCCGCACTTGGGTGTTGGTGACACCGTCACAGTCAGGCAGACTGCAGATCACGGCGCTTCGGCGGCGGTGTCTGCTTGCAAAGCCCAAAGAATCCATGTATGTTTGGCCTGTGAAACACGTCTGCTCCCAAGACAATGCTTGTTCTAGAAAATTTCCAACAAATGTGGCGTGTGGCCCTCGGTGGCTTCTGTCGCATTGGTCCTGGTGAGTTGTCCATTACTACATGTGCATGAACCAAATGGTGAGTGGCGCTCTCATAGCCCGAGTAGGAATGTCCTGCCAACTAGCCCTCAGCTTTGGCAGCTAGTTTATGAGCCAGCGTTTCCATCAGCAACCTCTCTGACATTAAATAAGCGGGCATTATCGGCCAACTTGCCTGGCTGGGTATAAATTTTTGAATCCTTCCCCTTCCAGGCTTCCGGCTACGAGACCCTGGGATTGGGCGCATTAATCGGAAGCCCTTGTGCCTTGTGTCGACAACCACTAGCAAAGATGTGGCGTCGCAGTCGAGTAATACACCGGACTTGTATCCGCCGTGATATTGGCATCATGTTGTTGCACGATCAACAGAGCGCAAAGTCCAAGTTCGGCAGAGAAGAGGCCTAACAGAGAATTAGCAGCGTTCATCTCCTTGTCAAGTTTGCGTCTCCTCCTTTCTCAGGTGAAATGTGGCTACCCGTCACTAACACCGAGTGGCCTCACACCAGATGATATGGTGCGGCTAAAGAAGTTTCCGCTTAATTTTTGTCCGTCATCATTCTTACAGGTTGACAAGTCATGCCGTCAATGGCTTAAAGCTGAATCAGTACCCGAATATAGCCACATCATGCGTGGCCACGAAAACGTTAGAAATGGCGGTAGGACAGTAATAGTGCAACGGTCTCAAACAACGTCATTACGCTGTCTGTTCAAGTCATTTTTGCGAAGGCAGTATCAATGACACGTCTTTCACCCAGCTTTCTAAACGGTTCCTGTGGAATTAGTTTATGCAACCGCATCCTAGACTCTGATTATCGGCCAAGGGCTCATTACCGTATATAGATGTATTCCTTTCCGTCGTCCCCCGCGGCGATACTGTCAAGGGACTGCCCCATGCAGGTGCAGGTGCAGGTGCGCTTTGTTGACTAGGCAGATCTGCAGCTCATTTGCAAAAGTCTCACCTCTTAGGCCACTTGCTTCCGGTTGCATCAGTCCGGGGAACGGTGAAGCCCGACTGTGGTGTAACGTCGGCACGCTACAGGGCTGGGTCCGCTGACATGACAGCCGCCCTACAGCAACGTATACAAGTAGGAATCTGCAGGTTTTGATGTAAGAAAAAAGCCACAACACTTCTGAACTGCACCGTCTCGTCATCATACATGCAAGGTGGCTACTTCGGAAGGCGCAGCAGGCGATGCAGGTCGGGTCAAGCGGCAGAAAACACAGCCTGAAATTTCCCAGCCCGTTGGGTAAATTGCGCCAGTATTACTTCCCGTCGGGAGCGTAAGACACTTCCTGGTTACCTCCGTATAAGCACCTTGACAACAGCGATGCTGTAGGGCAGGGCACGCTCACCGGGCCGGGCTGATGTAATACAACTAGCCGGGCGCGGTGAGACGATTAGACCATGCACCGCACGGTCCGGTACATTGAGGCATTCCGAATTCATCCGCATTGGTACATTGAGAAAGCGGCAACGTTAATTCGTATTGATAGTTTGATTAGCAACCGATGCGGCCCGGTGGTTCTGCGTGGGGGTTTCCAGGATGCTTGTCAACGAGGTCGTATCTATGGGATTCAGGATTTCGGTGCCTAAAATGGAAACGGCTTAATAAGTCAGCGGGTGACAGGGTGAGGTGTATAAAGATCTTGTTGTGCTAGCTCACACTGCTTAGTCTCAGGCAAATGGAGACCCATTCGCAAATCTTTACGAAGGTTGTCGCGCGTGTGCATGTAGGTATGGGAATAGACGCTTCCATCCATGCTCCCCTACACGGTACGCTGCAAGTCATCAGCCAGACACGCGAGTCAAATTAGAGTTTGGGTCTCCCCAACGTCATGAGCAGCAATGTACGGATCCGTAGTGTTGCAGTGCATCTTAGTGGAACCTCGGGACACCACTCACGAGCCCAGTCCCCGTCTACTCTGTACTTGTCGATAAACTAACAATAAGTTAGCAATAGAGACGAAAAGGTTGGCGCACGGGCAGAAAGATTGCAAGACAGATGACGGATGACGGATACCGGATGACGGTTAGGGCCGAGTCAATGGACCGCGTTTGCTTACCCAAGTCTAGGGAAGGATGGCAATCACAAGCCGAGGCATATTCGTCCACGGAGACATTGGATAGAGTTTGCTCCATGGACCGATACCAGGTTGTTGGTAGATGGGCCTATACGGAGAACTCCGTCAAGGCCAAATCTGGGGAATAAATTTGAAAAATCGAGGTCTCGAATTTTTCGCTCGTTTGTTGAGCCGTTGTCCTTCCGACGACCGCATGAGACTGAGACGCGTGGGATTGAGTAATAATGCGTGCTTCTTAACGGGTGCCTGCTGGATAATTTCAGTAAACCTTTGCGCAGGAAGCAAAGCAGGAAAGGTGGTGTGACGACCAATAATACTGACCAGTAACGTGTGCAGGTTACTGTTTGGGCGGCGCCATCGGGAGGATTTATGATGGTGGTGGCTTGATGACAGAATGGCGTTGGGCAGAGTTGTTGTCAAGGTGAGGATGCTGGTGATGTGGCAGCTGGAATATGAATGCTTGTTACATACAAGATGGTATCGTCATGGTGCCTGGCCTTCAACGGCTTGGTACCTACTTCCGAGCGGCAAACGAATGGCAGCTCGCCAGCGCTTTGCTTAGATGTACATTTTACCCAGGTACAGGAAAGAGACAGACGGCGACTTTTACGGCGCAGTCCACTATGCTTTCTGTACTTGCCCTATAACGGGCCATGTAAAACTAGCTATTTTTTAACTCTTGGATTGATATAACTCAATGCATAATGCTATAATAGGTTACGTCGTGGCGAAATTAAAACAGCCTCACCTTCCCAGCCTGCAGGTACCTCTGAAGGGCATGATCTTGTAAGATACCTCAGGTTTGCAACTGCCTGCACCGGCCCCCGGCTGCCAGCTGCCGACAAAAACAAACACGAGCAAACGCAAGCAAAAACGCATCTTCACTCTCCCATAAATCTGAATCTCAGCCACTCCTCTCAGTTATGTACGTATATCTCATCCTCCCCTTCATCTTGGGCATCTTGCCATCTCTGCCCTGCGAGCGGCCCCCTCCACACTACTAACGAACTATGGACCATTCCTCAGGCTTGGCTTCCCACGCGCAGATCCGCGGCGCTACGTCTGCACCCCCTCGTCTCCCAAAATGCATGGTCTGTTGTTGCACCAGAATTGCGAGAACCCATACTAACATGCCTGCTGCTTTGCTAGACGACCACTTTCTGCTATACTACGTAGTACATCAAGGCAAAAGGAGACGCCCGTTGGCCGATGAACTTCGCCCCGACCGAATCACCCACCCATGCCGCACTACCCAACGCCGAGCCGCAGGCGGCTGACCTGAGGGGAGCTCACTGACTGACGGCTTCGCCGCTCTTTGTACGCTGTCGCGCACAGCCGTCAACCTTGGATGTGTCGTCTGACGAGCGTGCGTCACCTCCGCAGCAGCAGCCATGCGACATGATCATGAGCATTACGCAAAGGAAGAAACACAGGAGTCGGCAAACATCGCGCGCCGGGTTGTACGCTCAACATACGATCACCACCACCTAGTTACCTCGAATCCGTTTCGCCCTACTACTTGCCGCTCACCGGGGCCGAAGACTTACTGACGCCGTGGCTCCGTATCGGTTCAAGCTCACTCAGATCCACCACACCTCCGCCAAAGTGCAAATAAAATGCCATGGCTCTGGTGGGTCAGTTGTGGTTCTCGGATTACTGGTAGCACCAAGTACTAAATGGCTCCATAGATTTTGGCACTGTACTGCCACTGTGGTGCTCCCGCTTCCACGCCGCTTCCTACAGGCCTAGTCCCTGACGCCTCCGGGCCATCTCCTGGGGCCGATTAGGAGCGAAGGCCAGAGTAGGTAAAACGCTTCAAGTCATGGACGGCATTGCCTTTGGGGATCGGTCGCTGCCAATGGACCGTTGCCCACCGTTCCAACCATCAGCCACGCCCCGAAGCTTTAATATCCACGGCCCCCCCTTCCTCGTTTCTCCCTTGACTCGTACCTCGACAATTGTTTTTGCTCGTCTGAATTTCTCAGCTACTTGCTTTTCTGTCATTTCCATCTTCTCCTAGCGGTTAGCCCTGTGTCTTGGAAGTTGCTGTCTCAGAAACCATCCCATCTACTTGCCCAGACGAGTTAACTTAGTGTTATACTTTGTCTCTGCATATCCACGGGCATTGCTGCTAGTCTTATATCCTCTGCATCGCCAGGACTACAACGCTAACCGCCGTCTTTCCTTACCGCACACGACAACGACCTCATTTCGGCAAAGTCTATCTCTACCGCCGTCAGAATGTCCTTTTCAGCCCAGTACAAACCTCGGCCGTCAACCGACATCTTCACCAATGATACTGATATTGATCGCCGCAACTGCCGGCGCATCGTTCCCATGCGAGTGCTTATTCTCGGATTGGGCCGAACCGGCACTGCCTGTATGTAATTGACGTCCGTTGCCCAACCTACAACACAACTGACAACCACAGCCATGCGCGCTGCCATGAAGCGACTCGGCTACGTTGACACATATCACATGATGAACTGCTCCATCGAGAATCCCACCGACGCCCTCATGTGGATGGACGCGCTGACGGCCAAATACGATGGCAAGGGCCGCCAATTCACACGCACCGAGTGGGATCAGCTTCTCGGCCACTGCCAGGCTGTCTGCGACTGGCCCAGCATCGCATTTGCCAAGGAGCTCATCGAGGCCTACCCCGAGGCCAAGGTCGTCCTCACGAACCGCGATGTACACTCGTGGCACGCCTCGACGATGAAGACGGTCTACTGGCGCGTCACCGACCGCCACCTGCGCTGGTTGTCGTACTTTGACTGGGCCGCCGGCCAGTACTACCCCATGCTCAAGAAGTTCTTCGACACCTTCTTCGAGGGCGACTTCCCCAACCGCGGCAAGGCCATCTTTGAGCGCCACTACGCCGAGGTCCGCAGCCTCGTGCCTAAGGAAAACCTGCTCGAGTTCCGCGTCACCGACGGCTGGGAGCCACTGTGCGAGTTCCTCGACGTCCCCGTGCCCAAGGAATCGCCGTTCCCCAACGTCAACGACAACGTCAACTTTGTGGCTCGCTCTAAGGCGCGCAACTGGGCGCAGACGTACAATGTGCTGGTTCGCTGCTTCATCTGGCTCGCCCTCGGCCTCGTCACATTGCTTGCCCTCTTTCGATTGGCCATATCTTGAAGGCAAGCCACATCTGCACGAGACGAAGTATGACGTTTTATCTTTTCTCTTGCCATGCTGGGCTTACAGTGTGTGCATCATCCCACAGCTGGCAACAGCTTGGGCATGTCTTTTTGCTTAGAGGTCCGCATATAGACCGTTTTGCATGGCGTTGTTTGTTTCACCCTTGTCTGGCCTTGATCCGGTTCGCGATACCGTCCATATAGATCCGCCACCAAAAGTACATAGCATGGTGCTTTGTTCATAGTTGGCCCGGCACCAGCCAGCAGTTTCTTGAATATATATGTCCACATCTAGAATCGACAGCAGCCGGTCGTGACGTGCATTTAAGACATGTTCCTCCACCTCTCCACCGCATACGCCTCCGGAGCCTTGTTTTTAGCAGTTGTCTAATTGAGCAGTTTGCATCAGAACCATCACCCCCTACATGTACGCATATGCAGTGACAGCGTGTCAAACGTGCCAACCGTGTCAACCGTGTCAAACGTAACAAAATCTGTTTGCCACCTTGACTCAAAATGCAAAGTTTTGCATGCATTCTGCCAAAAGGGGCAGAGAACGGGATGAGGTGAGATAGGAGATGGCGGTGGGTCGACATCTCAACCGCCGCCGCCGCCGCCGCTTTTAAATTGTGGCTTGGTGAAGTACTCTGAGGGCCTCGATGTGGTCTGATTCAGGGGTCTGTCAGGAAGCTGTCATGTCGTTCTCATGAAGCTCAAAGGCGCTAGAGAGCTGACCGCAGCCCTCCGAGCAGCCGTCCCTTCTCTACACGGTATCAGGCTGTCTCGGGCAGCTGCAGCTTCTGTGATGCCTATACCCGCTCATCAGGCCCCTTGCGTGCTCAAGTCTACTTGTTGATGCCTGGGCCGCCATGTTCCATTTTGCTTTGTCGCCTTTGCCTCACTCATGCAAAGCTCGCCCGACAGGGGCTGCAGCAACATGTCTCCGAGCTGACCAATTCACCTGCGCGTGCACGTGTGGTCTCGTGGAGGTAACTCGGATGTACATTCAGTCGAGATTATTTTAACTTTACTTGGTATGCATCAAAATACCACGATCCTAGTTCGCCCGATTCGTCCGAGCTACGCGCGCTGGGATTTTATAATCGCAACAAGAGTAACAACCAGCGCTGTATTTAGCTACACTTAGGATGCAGTAACAAGATCTAACAAGATCTTTCAGATGTAGTTTATCTAGATCTAGGTCATTTGTCATCCAGTACGTGATAGCTTCCCCGCTGAGAGCCGGCCAAGTACCAGAATGGCGATGGACTGTCAATCTACTCAAGGCGTGCTCCGCCGTCCTCTAGCAGCCGGCCGCCACCAAAGGAGCAAGGCAACTTCACCACATCTTTAGCATACCCACGATCCAAATTTAAACATGATGCCACTCACCCACGCCCACGGTCAACGCCGTGCTCGAGCCGTACCTCGCCGGCGACTTTGACCGCTTCGTCCGTCAGCACTGCGCGCCCGGCTTCACCTCCGAGCTCGGTTTGGACAGTCGATTCTAAGGAACCTCAGACTGGGTGACAGCAATGCAGGCTAGAGAAGTGTACGTATCTAGTGTCGCGGAGTTCTAGTTCTCATAATTCCATCATATTTCTATGTGTTTCTTGCAAGAATCATTATCAGCCTTGCGACATTCAATATCGGAGCCCTCGTTCCGATAGCATTGGATACGCTGGCCAGTCTCCGTGGAACACCAGCAGATTGTGAGGGGGTGATGCACGCGCCAAAACTGCCTATTCCCGAAGTTCGGCAACTAACAACTATCATACTTGCTGCGTCTTTTTTTAAATTGTATCTTGCGCTCTATTAAATATCTCGTAAACCCTGTTTCTATATCTTGTCATTTCTGTACTCTCCATCAATTGTGTTATGCCTCCGCGGGTTCTGGCCCCGTCAAATCCGTGCCTCGGCAAATCGCCCGCGTGGCGTCCCGCACTTCCGACGCCGGCCACCGGCACCCTCCCCACGCCAAGCAACCCATCTCTTATAAACCACACATCGCGCATCGCCAGTTCATCGAATTCAACGGCCTCTCTACTCTCTCTGCGCTTCCATCACCAAACCTCACCCATCCAGAGGCCGGCATGTCCTTCCCCGACAACCTCAAGCCCAAGGAGCCCAGCGGCGCCTCGCTCCTGGCCCGGGAGCGCCTTCAGTCGCCCGTCGACGTCGCCGCGCTCAGCCGGCACATCTTCGCCGACACGGGCTTCCTCGAGCGGCAGGCGCGCGTGCTCGCCGCCATGGAGCGCGAGCCGCTCCTCTCCAAGTCCGCGCAGCAGCAGCTCTCCCGCCCCGAGCGGTACCGCCTCGGGCTCGCGCGCGGCAAGCTCCTGCGGCGTCTGCAGGCGCGGCACCGCTGGGACGTGGACGACTACCACATGGCCGCCTACCTCCTCGGCGAGCAGATCCCGTTCCGGCTGCACGTGGGCATGTTCCGGACGACGGTGGCGGAGCAGGCGAGCGACGCGCAGCGCGCGCTGTGGATGCCGCGCGTGGATGCGTGGGACGTGGTCGGCACGTACGCGCAGACGGAGCTCGGCCACGGGTCCAACGTCCGCGGCGTCGAGCTCGAGGCCCGCTGGGACCCGAAGACCAGGGAGTTTGTGGTGCACAGCCCGACGCTGACGGCGGCCAAGTGGTGGAACGGGTCGCTGGGGCGCACGGCGGACCACGCGGTGCTGATGGCCCAGCTGATGGTGCCGGACCCGGAGCGCGCGGGCGGGTACGTCTCGCACGGGCCGCAGGCGTTCATCGCGCGGATCCGGGACGCCGAGACGCATCTGCCGCTGGAGGGCGTGGTCATCGGCGACATTGGCGTCAAGGTTGGCTTCGCGTCCATGGACAATGGCTACATGCTGTTCAGCCAGTTCAGGTAACTGCACCCCGGGTGAGACGCAGACAGACAGAACACGCCCGGTTGCTAACCCTGCCGCTAGGATCCCCCACTCTGCGCTGCTGTCGCGCTACGTCCAGCTCGACCCGGAGACCGGCGTCTTCACCAGGTCGCCCAACGCGGCGCTCGCCTACGGCACCATGACCTCGATCCGGACCGTGCTCGTCGAGGAGGCCGGCACTTTCCTCGCGCGCGCCGTCACCGTCGCCGTGCGGTACTGCGCGGTGCGGCAGCAGTTCCGCGACAAGGACTCGCGCGACGCCGGCTCGCCGGAGCTGCAGGTGCTCGACTACCCGACCGTGCAGCTGCGGCTGCTCCCGTGCAGCACACGGGGCGGGCGATGCGGCGCGGCTACGCGCGGACGCGCGCGGCGGTGGAGGCGCGGGGGGACCTCTCGGGGCTGGCGGCGCTGCACGCGTGGTCGTCGGGGCTGAAGAGCCTGAGCACGGAGGTGACGAACGCGGGCATCGAGGCGTGCCGGAGGGCGATGGGCGGGCACGGGTACGGTGCGGGCAGTGGGCTGGTGGAGATGCAGCGCGACTACCAGGCGAAGCCCATCCTGGAGGGCGACAACTGGATGATCACGCAGCAGACGGCGGCGTTCCTGATCAAGAGGATGGCGGCGGTGGTAGGGGGCAAGGTGACGGACGAGACGGACGCGCAGTTGAAGGCGTTTCTGGACCGCAAGGACAAGGGCAGGGAGCTTTACCTCTTGAACAGCGACTCTGATATCCAGAAGAGCTTCGAGTGGCGAGCGGCTTCCATGGTATGTCTCCAAGGACGGAACATTGCGTTGCTAGTGCTGACGTGGGTAGACATACGACGCATACCGGGCGCGAGTCATCGACGAGAAGAGGCACAATGATCTTCTGATCCAGTTTCACAAGCTAAGCCACGGTATGGTGTTCATTGGATGTTACTTTTCATGCCCGCGCTGACAAACCTAGCACACTCGCAATCCATCATGGTTCGGTCCTTCCTCGGCAGCCTTGCCTCCGACGACGACCTGCCTCGCGAGACCAAGGACGTCGTGTTCGATCTCTACCGGCTGTTTGCCTACACCAACATCCAAGCCGAGAGCTACGAGTGTAAGTAGATGCCACCAAACTTGGAGACGCATGCTGACCGGCCAGTCCTCCGATGCGGCGCCGCGTCTGCCGCGGATCTGGATGCCCTGCCCGATCGGATCCAGACGCTGCTGGCGCGCATCCGGCCGCACGCCGTCAAGCTCGTCGACTCGTGGATGATTCCCGACTATCTCCTGGACAGGTAGGTCAACCCTATTTTTTGCTATTCGCAAGACTAACTAGTTTCAGCGCGCTTGGTCGCTACGATGGCAACGTGTATGAGGATCTCTTCAACCGCGCGCATAGGCAGAATCCGCTTAATGATGTTGTTTTCAACAACGACTGGAGGGACGATGAGATAGTCAAGGGAAGCGGCGAGCGGGAACCTCTTTTGCCTAAGCTATAGGCCTCCCTCAGTATAATTGTATCATGTTATTAAAAGTCGTAGATACTGATTCTCTTAATATCGTTCCGCCAGTGGTGTCTAACTAGTCGTTTGGGATGCTGCCAACGAGGGTATTTAGGAGCAATGTGTCTAGTATCTAGTGTCTAGTGTGTTTAGCGATTTGTATCTGTTGTTTATGTCTGGTGTCCGGTGTCGGGTGTCGATCTACGTCCTTGGTAGTCCGTGTTTGGTGTGCCTGTGTGTCCGTGTCTATGTTTTGTGTCTAAAGCAACAGCACTTCCAAGCAACTCAGAGAATTGCATCAAGATAAAAGCGAGTCTCGCTTAATTATGCGTAGTTTAAAACATTTCAATCTCTACTAGCGGCGGATCGAGCCCATCGTGAATGCTCTGCCTTGCATCTGGTGATGTACTTCACTACCCCGCACAGGATTCTCACGACATGCTTCCGCCAACACTCGGCCATTCATCTCCCATCGACAACCTGCGTCTCTAAAGAGCTTCATTCCCAGAAGCACACCTCCATTCACGCAATGGCGACATCGAGCCCCAACCCCGCGCAGCTGCCCCTCGGCCAGCAGCTCCTCTGCCTCCGCCAGGTCCTGTCCACCAACACCACCCTCATCACCGTCCTCGAGCGCGTCGCCACGCTCGGCCTCCCCAACTGGTACCTCGCCGGCGGCGCCGTCTCGCAGACGGTCTGGAACTACGCCTCCCACCTCCCGCCCTCCGCCGGCATCGCCGACTACGACGTCGTCTACCACGACGCGTCCGACCTCTCCTGGGACGCCGAGGACGCGCACATCCGCGCCGCGCGGGCGCTGTTCGCCGACATGCCGGGAATCGACGTCGAGGTGCGCAACCAGGCGCGCGTGCACCTCTGGTACGGGGCCAAGCACGGCACGCCCTGCCCGCCGCACGCGAGCGTCGAGGGCGGCATCGACTCGTGGATCTCGACGAGCGCCATGGTCGGCGTCCGGCTGGGCGGGGAGGATGGCCGTGAGTGGTCGGTGTACGCGCCGAGGGGGCTGTCGGACTTGTTCAACGTGGTGGCGAGGCCGAACGCGGTGCTGGGGAGCAAGGAGAGCTACGACAAGAAGACGGCGCGGTGGAGGGGGATATGGGACAAGTTGACGGTTGAGCCGTGGCCGACGGAGACGGCGGCGGCAGCGGCGGCAATTACGGAAACTTCAGCAACTGCGACAATTGAGTCGACGATGGAAGAGAAGTGATGATCACTAACGTCACTTGGTTCATGTACACTGTTGGGATCTGCTCTCTACTGTTTTATGGTGATGATAGATTATGGCTCGTGACATAGAACTATTTCAAAGTAACTACTTTACTTCTCTCACCAGATCATACACCAGATAATACACCAGATAATAGATGCATCAGAAAACAGCTCGGTAAGGTGTACTGCAATGTGGCCCGCATAAGCTTTGGCATGACAGCGTTCCATTAACACGGGCTTCTCGTCTTCATCCCACGTACAAGATTTCTATAGAACACCTCCAAGCTTTCCTATTCAAATCGAGCAATTCAATAGCAATCATTAAGAAACTCTATCCACCCCAAAGTACAAGTGAATAGAGCAAGCGTCGGGGCCACCCAATCGGCCCGAGACGCGAGCATCAGGTTCCGATTCAGCACATCGCGACATTTCCGAAACATTCTTACACGAGGACAATAGGACAACAAACAGCCATCAATAGGGCTGGAAACCTTGACGCACTTCCAGAATCGTCGCGGGCGCCTCGTGTTTCGGCCGACTTCCGCGCAGAGATGTTGAGCAGTTATCTGATCAGCTGCAGACAATCACCACACATGTTCGTCGTGCCAACGTTCCCCAGACTTGTTGTCGCAGCCGCGCATTTCGGCAGACTTCCGCATGGACATTCTCAACGGTTTCATGCCAGATCAGCTCCTACACGTGCCAAGGATGTTCCCATTTTCTGTCAACTCTGTCCGATCTGGCGCCGCCATGTGCCGCGGACAAGTCGGCACCCGTGCTGAAAACGGGCTTGTTCAGCCCAGGGCGGCGCAACTGGGGGACAATTGCGTGGCTGGATTGCGGCAGGTCAGAGAGCAGGCAAACACCAAAAGTTCTTCGGCAATGTTCTTTCTGTCAAACTCTATTCCCACTTCCGGCCGATGGGCGAGGCGCGACGGTGGTGTGGGGCCGATCAAACTCGGCGGGAACACGGAGGTTGGCGTCCGGAACCCGAGAGTCTGGACGACGCTTCTGTCTAGTGCGGGCGCTGTTGATAGGAGGTGCAGGCGGCTGATTTGATGGCTGCTTCCTATATTCTAGCATACTGATTGTCGGAAGGGTTGATGTTTAAAGACATGGGAGCTAGTAGAGACGATGCGATCAAATGAGAGAGATGCAGGCCAGACATGGTGGTCTGTCTCACAATGTGCGATAGCTGCGAGCACTTTGAGTGCAGTAGCTGCGAGCACTTTGAGTGCAGTAGCTGCAAGCACGACCACAACAGTAGCAATGCATATCCTGTCAGCGAGGTCACCTGTGGAACATGGTGATCCTTGACCGTTAGCAGTCGCTTGGAAAGAACTGATCACAGTATCAATCTTGGCGGCTCTGCGTCTGCCAAGGCATACAGGGTCATCCAAGTAACGCAACCCCAGATGCATGAAGGACAACACCGAGCTTGGGCCTCAATCCTTGGCAAGACGGTCCCGTCGCGAGAGGCTCCGGGCGCAGGAGATGGCAACCTGCAGTGCTACGCCGCCATATTTTCCGGCGAGAGCGACGCGACGGTGGCCGCCGACAGGGAACAGAAGCTTTGCCGAGAGTTTGGCAGCAGCGTCGCACTGCATTGACTTCTAGCAGGGGGCGCCAGGCGACCTTCGAATGCGACGCTCCCAACAAGACCACTGCCACGGCAAGCCCTCCCCGCGGGCAGTTGACGTGGCGAGTCAACCAACTGACCCAGCAGCGGAAATGGACAGGATATTGCGATTGGGCGCGGTGGCGGTGGCGAGGGTGGAAGGTGGGAGGGAGGTGGCAGAGAGAGGTCAGGTGCGCAAAGGGGACGAAGCGTGCCTTTTCGCGTCGCGGGAGACTTCCGGGTGGTTCGTTTTTCTTTGTGTGAGTTGTTGGCTAACCATGGCTTGGGCCTTATTGTTGATCAAAGCAAACAAGTGAAGTCATCACGGAGCGAGGTAGTCCGATCGTTGGACCGGCCTCTGCGACTCAGCGCCACCAATACGGCAGTAATTGTTTCAATGCAAGGTCTCTATCACACCCATACCGCAGCTTACCAGGAGTAATAATCTTTCACGAATTCGTAATAATTCTGATATTGACGCTGGCGGTGAAAGACATCGACCAGGGTGATTGGCCACGGCTGTCTTCACCGCCAGATAACGTGCATGAATTGAGAGGAGAAGAAAAGGAAAACTGCAGACCGGGGAATACGGGGAAATAGCATGAACGAGATCATAAAAAGAAGCATTATTGATGGAGACAGACATGACACAGAGGTGGACAGTGGTGCATAGTTCCCACGACTCGCAACCATTCAGAGTCACGACAAAGAATTACGCCCGGCGGCTGGGGCAGAGAAAAGCAAGCAACCCAAAGAAAGAGGGCAAAGATGGACGATCTGGTCGTTCCACCACGAGGCCATATTGCTTCTTTTCAGGAGGGCTAGCCGGAACACCAACTGACGCAGTTGCTTCCTTTTTCTCACCACATGGACGCCACAACTCAACGGCTCCTCCAGGCTTCTCCCTTTTTTTTTTGCTTTTTTTGCTTTTTTTATTTACAACCGACACATGGCAGACAGGGAGATGCTGGCATCAGAAAAAGCAAGTATTATGCTTGGCCCATGCTGCAAAGTGACATGCATCGTTTACAAGGTGTTCCTCGGTTGGTAAACGGGGAGAGACAAGTCATGTCTGATAATGTGGTGGCGGTGAAGTTTGGAGTCAACGGGTCCGTGTAAGTCAAGCGAGTAATTGATGCATCGCATTGCGGGAAATGGGCCGAGACATGCTGCCCGGAACAATATCAGCGGCAGCAGGGTTCGATTTGCGCCCGCCTTGTATGGATCCGTTAGGAATTATCGAATCCCTTTTGACGAATCGCCACCCGTCAGCAGCGCGTGATGGACAGGCTGACACAGATTGCGTACGTGTGATGTGACTGTGATTGCCGTCGACCAGCCTTGGACGGGGAAATCGGAAAGAGGCCGGTGGCATCCGGTTGCCGATGCTCTTTGGCCAAGATTGTTGCCTGTTTGAGTCCGTAGAGGGGGTTACCTTGTCCAGCCAGCCCTTCCCTGTTTATCGCTTGGGACAGCGGAAGGGGGTGTCACGATGCCACCTTTCCAGCTCTCACGGTAGATGGAGAGGCGTTGCGCCTGATGAGAGAGCGAGTCCACACCCAAGTGGCGTAGATGTTTCTCGCTTGCTTCAACCGTGGCCTGATGAAGCTACCGCGGTGACAAGCCAACCCGCAAGCCCTCGTGCCAAAGGCCACCGAATATTCCGGATAACCAACCAGTTATTAGTGCAAACTTAATCAAACAAGGGTTGCCCGTCGTTTGTCGGTACTCCAAGTCCAAGCCCAGCCCAAAGGCCGTTACGCCTCGAAATGGCGTAGGTCTCCTCATGGCGTTCGAGGTCACCCCACGCGTAAGTAATCGAGAATTCCATTTTCCACTCTCCATTTCTTTCCCCTTGTGTAAGTCAGTCATTCCCGCCTTTCCTGTGAGAGGCTGGATATCAACCATGAACCCATCAACCCATCAACCACACGCATATTGGTGCCAATCAGCTTCTCGCATCTTCACACCCACTCTAGGGCCCGTCTAAATCGGAACAAATCACGGCCATCCAGCGCATCGTCGTCCAAGGTCCGTCGTGGTCTGGGCTCCTGCAGTCACATCACCGCGCCGGGCAAGGCTGCAAGATTATCAGCAGCGACGGCTGTAGTCGCTGCCCAATCCCCCCAGCCTGCAGTAGTCGACTTTTGAACTGCAGGATGGCTGCAGGAAGCTAGTCACGAAGTGGTGATGATTTCCATGTCCGTCGTGGACAGGCTGGCAGGGCCAACTCCACTGGTCCTTTGCCGCTGAGTGAGTTTATACTACCAGTAGGCATCCAGCAGGGCAATTTGGAGGACTTGAAAATGTAAATACTATGCACAGATTACCAGACAAGCAGACCAGCGAAAAGGTTGCATGAGTAATACGCCAAGGCTCCCCAAGACTGGCACCGCCAAAGGATTCAGGATCTGCCTTGTCCACGTTATCACTTTGTTCATGAATGAGGCGAGGCGTGCATGCATGCAGCCACTCACAGCCTGCTGCAGCAGAGACAAAGGGGAAACCTTCTCAGCAGATCCTCGGAGGCACGGACGGTTCGGCGACTTGCAAATAAGACAGGCAAGGCTTGCGGGCTGTGCACGTCCCCAGCCCACGAATCTCGGCACTACGGCCATTGGAGGGCGATTTACGGGGCACAAGTCAGCGATGGCTGATGAGGCCACTCTTGGACCGCAAATAGTCGCAGCTGTTCCCGCGCCGGCCAAGAGCCAATCACCAAGGCGGACAGGACACAGAGCCGGGCTGGCGTGTTAGGACGGATACTCTGTGCTCAGTGCGGTAACGGCCTGTGCGTGGCTGACCCCCCCTCGGCAAGGTTCCAACAGACAATGAAATGGCTTGACGTCTGTGTGCTGGAACCATGACGCCTCAGTGTGACGGTAGATTGAGATGCGAGGCCGAACCTAGAGTCAGGTGGACATGGCAGTGAGGAATGCTGTTGGAGAATCAGGAGATTGGCCTTGAAGAATAACTACAATTTCAGCAGATTTTTATTTTCTCTTATTGCACAAGATATAGACAGGTGTGGTTCGTGCTTGCCCCTTTTTGAAACAAATATATGCAAATGACACTCTCCAGATTGCATTACGGATACTCACCACTAGTCTCAAGATATCAAGAGAGGCGGTGACAGACTCGGCATCGACATATCGTGATCGTGCTGGTATCCAACCACTAAGAACGAATCCATCAATAATTCTACGACTAACTAGCTCACGGCAGCCAAGATCTTCAAGGCCCACAGACATGCCGAATAACCCTCTTCTAGACCCCTCTCGGCTGCCTCGGGCGTCGTAGGATGCATGGAGTTGGCAGTAGTCGATGTATCGGCCCTGCTAAATTTGCTAGCCAATATACATGACGGAAGAGGTCCGTGAGCGAAACATGGGAGAGATGGCTGCTTCTCATTTCCCATGGAACATCGAGGTTGGGTGTGGGGGGGCCAAGGCCGCACAATTCGAGAGGGCTTACGCCATGCTGACAGTGGGCAGGGCATGTATTCCAAGATGGCCAAGAAGAAGAAAGGATGCCTGGGATCATGGGCTGGGCGCCACCGGGGCGCGTGGGAGAGGACAGGCAAGAAGCCGTCCGTCCCCAACTCACAAGAGCAGAAGGAAACAGGGGACGGAGGGAAGGAAGAGCTCCACCACAGGCATCTCTCTGGTGGAAACCCATGATAAAATTATCGCCAAACTAGTGATGAACGGGCTAACTGCCCCCCCCGGCTCAACCAAGTCTCTCTCGCCTCTTTCGCGTCTTTTCCAAGCCGACCCACATCCCTGACCAGTCAAGACTCATCTGGCGCCATTCCTTTCTTCAGAAAAGACAAGAGGTGGGTGTGGAGGATCAAGGTGGTGGTGGCGGTGGGCTGAGAAGGTTTGGAGAACTTGGCGGCATTGGGTTAGAGCGGGCTGTCGGCTGCGCCTTGTTTTAGCTACATGGTGGTTCCTTGTGGCCGTTTCTAGACGTGGACTATTATTTACTGGGTTTGCTGAAATGCGACAAGACTTCGTCATTTTAGCTTCCTGAGATGGAGGGAGGGGGGGTTTTTAGTTGCCGTCGCCCTCGTTTCTATTTGTGATGTTGATAGTCTTGAGCTAATTTCTGCCTAGTCTCGTACCGGAAGACTGGATGCCTATGCAAACATGAAGCCATGGGAGGCGGCGATCCTGCCTGATTCGGTACAAGTCTTGTCAGTTGCGAAGTTGTTCATTCACCAACATCTGACTGTCACATTGATGAATGGGCCATGGCTTATCGATTGGAAGCGGAGTCCCAAACCATAAAATTGTGTGTGAGTCAAGAAATTGGGCTAAAAGATCTGTTTAGCTATCAACGTTCTTTTGCATTGCTAGCTAAATTAAAAAATAAGAATAAAAAAACGTGTTCGCTTTTGGCCGAGTATCTGTTGTCAGCCCAGTGTGGCTGGCCACCAAATGGTCTATCATGTATTTGAGTACATCAAACAAGTACACACATGAGAAGGATGACAAGGCAGTTTTTTTTCCAAGAAACGCGTAATTTGATTCGAGCAGACAGAGAAAGCCAACTCGAACTCGCGGATTAAAAAGATATTTTGGTGTTCGTGATATGATGATGTCCGTAACCCGATTCCGTTTTGCATCAACTGCAAGAATAAAAAATGATATAATCAACTCCATGCTTTGGTCCTTTTTCTTTCTTCTCAAATCGGACTGATGGGATCTTGTTTCCTCCTGCGCCAGAATAGATAGTATGCAGCGGGTTGGGAAAAGTTGAACCCGCTCAAAAAAGAATCCGCCCCCAGCAAAGCAAAGTTTGTTTGTTGCAAATGTTGTTGAAATCAAAAACTCCACGCTAGTAAAAAGAAGATAAAGTAGAAAAGTAGAAGAGAAAGGCGAAGATGAGAGGTGGGTGAGGTCTTGAGCCAGTATAGTAGTTGTCGACTGGAGAGGGGGGTGTGGAAGAGATCAACTCCCAACCCAAGGGTTGTCCCATCTGGCCAGCAGTGTTGAAGCGTAGTAGCAAAAAATGTGTGTAAAAAAGGCAAGAAGAAAAAAGGGTTTGCTTCGACCCGTGAGAGTCTGATGAAGAGATCTTTATACAGCCTAAGACGGGTTATGATGTTTTGTGTTTTTTCGCTTAGTAGCCTTGGAAGGAAGGGAGAAAGGACACCTGCTGGTGAAAGGGCGAAGGGTGCTGCATCACGGGTGCCTGTTGCACCAGCTTGACCACCTCCCAGAGCGGGAAGAAGGACTTGTGCTGCTGGCAGGGCGGCTGCGAGGGTATCGTGGGAGGGGGGGGAGGAGCGTGATGCTGCTGCTGCTGCAGGAGCATCTGTTGGTGCATCAGGGCCTGCTGCGAGGGGAGGATGGGCACCGGGACCTGTTGTACGGGGGCGGCCGGAACGGGCACGGGACCATTGTACTGCTGCTGCTGGAAGCACGCCTGCGCGACCATCATCGCCTCCTCCGCGTCGTAGGTCGTCCCCGTGGGCAGTAGCTCCGCCGCCATCTCCTCTCGCATGAAGTCGTCCTCCTCATCCAGGTCGTCCACCGTCGACACGCTCGACGCCAGCGACCCTTCCTCCTCGGAAAAGTCCGACGCCGGCGACAGCGCCTCCTCGTCCTCGTAGTCGTCGCAGTCGTAGTCGTCCACAATCACGTCCTCGGGGATCTCCTCCGTGACGGCCAGCACCGGTCGGGCGGGCCGCTCGGGAGAGACGGTGAAGCTCGGGCAGGCGAGGATGCGCCGGCGCAGCTCCGGCATGGTGATGCGCGCGGCGGGGTCCGGGTGGAAGACCCGGCCCAGGATGTCGTCCAGGTCGTCCGACAGCGGCAGGATGGTCTTGAGGAAGCCTGGCGAGCGCACGTACGCGCGGTAGGTCGAGTCCTGCGCCGACGCCTGCTTCCACGGGTTGCGCCCGCAGGTCAGGTTCACCAGGATGACGCCCAGGCTCCAGACGTCGTTGGGCGCGCACATGTAAAACGGGCTGGTCGTCGTCGCGGTTGTCGGCTCCAGGCACTCCGGGCTCATGTAAAACGTCGAGCCGCAGCCGTAGTCCTCCGAACGGTCCTCCGCCGTGGCCAGGCCAAAGTCGGCCAGCTTGACCGTCTCCCCGCCGTCCGTCACCAGGATGTTCTCCGGCTTCAGGTCGCGGTGATAGACGCCGAGCGCGTGGCAGTGCTCCACGGCGTCCAGGATCTGCAGGAAGGCGCGCTTGGCCCGCGGGTCGTCGCCGACAAAGTGGCCGCGCTCGGTGATGTGGAGGAAGAGGTCGCCCTCGGGGCAGTACTCGAGGACGACGTAGACGCAGTCGACGTCGTGGACGATGCGGTGCAGCGAGACGACGTTGGCGTGGGCCGAGGCACGGTAGTGCAGGCTGATCTCGCGCTGCTGGTAGGCGACCTGGCGGCGCTCCAGCGGCGTGCCGTCGGCGGCGAACTTGCTCAGACACTTGACGGCGTAGCGGACGCCCGTCTCGACGTCGACGGCCGCGTAGACGACGCCGTAGGCGCCGGTGCCGAGGATGTCGGTCAGCTGCAGCTTGCCCTCGAGGAGGCGGCCTAGGCGCTGCTCCGGCGCGAGGGGCACGCACCGGACGGGAGGCTGAGGCTGGAACTGCTGGTGATGGCGGGCATGGTACTGAGGCTGAGGCACCGGCGGTGGTTGTTGGAACTGGCACTTGTCATAGGTGGGCGAGGCGGGCGGCGTGGGATATCCAAAGGGGACATGGCTCTGCATAGTCAAAAAAGGGACTGGTAAAAGCAAGGCTCCGGGCCGCTGGTAGGAGAGTAACAAGGAGGAGGAAGGAGGAGAAGCAGGTTCGGTTCAAGTAGAGGGACGCGGGTTCGGGTCCGTTTGGGGGGGGGGATGGTTCCTCCAGGTATATATTAAAAGATGATATCCATTCAAGGGTTTTCTCGCGGATTCAGAAAAGGAAAAGAAAAAGAGCTCTGGTCCAAGATGCGACTGATGTAGCACAGAATTGTCTGGTTGGTTCCTGGTATAAGCTGGCAGGTGGTGGTGGTTGAGATGTCGTCGACTGCCGAGTAAACGGGTCGAACAAGGAAGGCGTTTTAAACGGGCAGGTAAGAGACCCGAGGACAAGAAGAAATGGTAGTATTAAAAAAGAAGAAAGAAGAAGAAAACTACAACAGGACAAACGTAAACCCTGAAGAGAAGAAGATTTCTTTGTTTCTTTTTTGATTTTCCTTTTTGTGATTTCCAAGGACTGAAGGAAGGAATGTCGTGAAAAAGGTTGATGAGAGAGAGATTGTTTCGTATTGTATGTACACGGAGGATTTTTTGATATCAAGACTTTATGAAGGGGGGGGTCCTCCTCGGCCGAAGCGGGCATGTCGAGGTAGATATTCAAGAACGGGCAGCCAGCCAGCCAAGTGGAACAAGGAACAAGAGAACTGGCCACACCCAATGGAACCGAGAATCCACACCCTCCTCCTCTTTCTTTCCTGGACGCCGTCGACGCCGCCGCCGCCGTCGCCGCCGCCCCCCGACTAGTGGGAAGCAGGCCAGAGCAGGGCCCGCTTCAAGACAAGACGAGGCGGGTCAGAGATGAAGGAAGAGGAAGAGGTACGTACCAGGTGTGAGTCCCACATGAGAGGGAAAAAAAAAACAACTCCCTCTTGTGGCCCTGGGATGTGTTGTTGTTGTGTCTGGGACCGGACGGGCTTGCGTGGAACCCCCCCCCCCCATGCAACTAACACGGCCGCTGGTCCACACACACCCAGACCCTTGCTGGCTTCTGGCTCTGGCTCTGGCGTGTGGGAAGATTAATGCAGTCTTGTCTTGACCGGAACAAGGTGGCGCTAATGCGACAGCTATTCTTAAAACTTGTGTGTGGTGGTGTGTGTGAGGAGGAGGAGGAGGAGGAGGAAGTCAAACTCACACTCTCTCTCACACAGCTGGCGATCCTCGTGATGGACCGGTGGGGTCTCGACGGAACAACTAACTAGACAAGATACATACGTTGGTTAGCCAGTGGCCACTTGTTCCGTTCGAGGTTTGGCGCCTCACTTATCTTCGGCAAAGAGTTCTGGCGAGGGAGGGTGGGTGGATGGATGGATGGTGATGCTGGTGGTGGTGGTGCTACGGCTGATGGTGCGTCCTTGCACACACACACACACACACACACAACTTCTCACAACAACTTTGTGGCCCCAGCCTCAGGGATCGTGGCTTGGAGAGTGTGACGCTGCAAAGACTGACCACCCACTGACCACCGTGACTGTGACCCCAGGACCCAGTGAGAGAGAGGGGGGGGGCGCGCCAGCGGTTGCGTTGCGTCGCCTCTCTTCCTTCTTGTCTGACGCATCATTGCCATCTTGTCTGTGCTGTGTCATGATCAGCACCGTCCCACCTTGCTCCTCTCTTTCTGCTTGCCTTTCTCTCTCTCTCGCTCTGCTTGGCTCTCCTCCCTTGCCCTTGGCTTCCCCCCCCCCCCCCCCCCCTCC